TGCAGTTTACTTTGCCAATAAATTATCTGTAGATCTTTAACTTGATCTAAGTTTTATGCTCTGTTGTTCTCAAACTCTACCTGATAAGTAACCAAAAGACACAGCTCTTCAGCTGACATGATTTGATTTCCTATGTTTGTAGTTCAAGGCTGCTGCCATCAACCCACAGCAGTTCAAGCAGGAATACCTTGAAGGCTTTGGAGTCATCCAGTAAACCGTGGAAGCTAAATCTCATCCCATGAGACTGCAAACTTCTCCAGTTGAGAAAGAAGTCTTTTGGTGCTATCAAGTATCACTGCAGAGGAGAAATAAGACAGCACTGAGCTGTCATTGAAAATCTGTCTCAGGCTATTGGAAACGCAACAGGGGTGGGATTTCATACACAATGACTTCCACAAACATCCCATTCTGGAGTGGTTGTATGGTGTCAAGGAGTTTCCTTCAGCAATCTGATATACCTAGGAATTGTCAGTTCATGTTTATTGTGGAAGTAGCAGGGTTCTTAGCCATAGCAGGATTTAAGGAAACAAGCTATGAACAGCATATCTAGTGTAGTTTATCCAGAACTGAGCTGACACTGATGTCTGTGTGGCCTTTTTCTCCTTTTTATCTCCTAGAAAGAAGTGCAATCTTTATATTTGTCTATACTGGTAGTTTCCATAATACTTACTTCAGTGTTATATATAAATATTTCAGTAAGGTAATATCAGCTCATGCTGCTTTGTTTGGTTCTTCTTGTTGACAGCAAGGAGGGAGATGTGCTGTCCTTAATATTTCACTGTGTACAGTCAGAAGATCATCATCTTCTTCCTTTCATCTTTGAAGAATACATTTCATCTTTGGAATAACTTTGGGGGAAAATACAGGTAGGTGGCATAGGTATAGAAATGCTTCAGTGGACAGCACCAAATTATCTGATCTCATGATCAGAGGGTTGGAGCACCTCTCCTACAAAGACAGAATGAGAGAGTTGGGGTTCTTCAGTCTGGAGAAGAAAATACACAGGAGAGACCTTATTGTAGCCTTTCAGTACTTCAAGGGGGCTTATATGAACAGAGGGACAAGTTTTTAGCAAGGCCTATTGTGATAGGACAAGGGGTAATGGTTTTAAACTAAAAGAGAGTTGATTTAGACTAGATGTAAGGAAGAATTTTTTTACAAGGGTGGTGAAACACTGGAAGAAGTCACCCAGAGAGGTGGTAGATGCCCCATCCCTGGAAACATTCAAGATCAGGTTGGACAGGGCTCTGAGCAACCTGATCTAGTTGAAGATGTCCCTGCTCATCACAGATGGGTTGGAATAGATGAGTTTTAAAGGTCCCTTCCAACCCAAACCATTCTACAATTTTATGGTGTCCAGCATCTCCCTAAATTTCTTAGACAGTAAAGTGCTTGGATCTGCCTCACCTACATCTTGTCTCACCAAACATCTCCTCTCTAGCAGGCAGCAGAACATGTTAACAGCTATAGGTTGTTGCTTGCTATATGCATTAAGCAATGAACAGTGTTCTTGAATCAAGTTTGTTACTGTTTTCTTTTCCAATGCTTTAATATACAATGAGATGCTAACCAGGTGCTGAACTACATCCAAGTCTTGTATGTCACCTTTGCATGGAGGTCTACTGCAGTACCCACTTTGGTGGAGACAAGTTCATTCTGTCTTGGTCACCGAACACCGCGTTCTTGCTCATATTTCTTGTTATTACGCTTCAGTGGTGTTGGGGCCAGAGGAGTCTGACTGTGTAGCATCGGAGATGTGCTCCAGCATTGCTCATGGGAGCAGAAGGTGCTGCTGAGGCTGCTGTCTGGAAGAGCCATTAGCCACAAGGGGGAGGCAGCAACTAGTGATACGAAGCACCAACCGCTGTACCTGAGGATTTCATTCTGATTGTGTAAGTCAAGTTTAGAGAAGTATAAACCATTCTTATAAAGAGAAGAATGAAGACGCATTTTTTTCAGCAGCTGGACTGCTTGGGCTGTTATCAGCACACAGGGTTGTTAGGGCGCATGACTGCAAATGGCCATCAGTACAGGTCTCACAATCCCTCAGCTCTCTTCAAACCCTTCTATCCACAGACTCCTTGTTTCCAGAGGCACAATTTACTTTCAGTTTTTTGGTGGTTGCCATGAGTATTATACACAGCTACTAGCATTTTCAGGGCTATTTTACCAGGAGTGTTTCATCTTTTGACTTTCTCCAGTGGCTAACCATAATCGTTCTGTAATTAGTCTTTTTGCAAAACTCCTTCCACAGTAATGTCTCAGACAGTGGTACCTTGTGAGTAGCATTATATGCTGTTACTGTGCTTGTCCACTTGGAATAAAGTTTGCCACACAGGTGACTTGTCAGCCACCACCTTTAGTGCTGTTACACAGTAGTCTATCACATGTATAAGCTGGGAGGTGTGATAATTTTTTAACAGCCCTTCTGATGTTAACATCCAGGTTGTCCCCTTAACATCTGTATAGTTCACCATATTTGTGATTCTTGGTACTTGGTAGGTCTTCAAAGTTATCAGCATTCTGTGAAGGTTTTGACAGAGCTTTTCTTAGGTTAGAAAACCAAGAATCAGGTTTCAATATTCAGGTTTAGATATCCCTATACAGAGGTATATTTTCAACCCAGGGTATTTTTCAGAGTCTCCTGGAGCAATCGTGTTCAGTTTATATTGAATACTTGCCAGTGGTTGCAGTCACTGATCATGCAGGAGTCATGGGTGGGGTTGATGAAAAAGCCATGACATTTCTCTCTTGTGAGTTTTTAGATCAGTGCAAATACAAAAAGGTTGCTCTGAGGTGTTTTGCATCCTCTCCCATGTGTTGCTTGGCAAGACCAAGTCATCAACAAAGGCCAAGGTGGTTAATCTGGTTTTGCTCTGGAGGAATCCATAGACATATTTTTCTAGGCTGCAGAATAATGGATTGATTTGGTGACATTGGATCCTGTTGTTTAACAGTGGCCTTGATAGTAATTGGCTTAGTATGATCCTTTGTCATGGTGGTGACACTTACAGATCAAGTTTCATCTGACCACACGTTCAGATAGTTCTCTTTACTTCAGGACCAAAAGGTATGCTCATGTGTCACTGAGTAGGAGGCCTTGGCCATTTCCATGAATACTCCCCACAAGGCTTGTTTTTTTTGGTAGTACATTGAATGACAACTTAGAGTGTCTGTACACTCTCAGAGAAACCAGGTTCAGATATAAGGCCTCTTTGTTACCCACTGACCATTAATAGGCCAAGCTTTTGTTACCCTGGTTGTCAGAATCCACGTAAAGAGTACTAAGATGCTTGATCAGATCGTGATAGGACTCTCAGTTTTGTCATCTAAGTTGATTTCAGTATCAAAATTGTTCTGTGTTCCTTGATACTACCCAGTACACATGCAAAGTCAAAGTTCTGCTAACTTAGGGGGTCTGTCTGTACAAGGCCTTTTAAACTTACTTGGTCTAGGTCAGGTGCTGAGGTTTTACTTTTCCTTTATCTCCTTCAAAATGTGCTTAGGTGTTATCAGCTTAAAAGGCCAATTTATCAACTTTACAAGATTTTGAAACTTCTCCGCTTCTCTGTGTTGAGAAATGGTTTCTCGCTCTTAGACTTGAACTTTACTGACTGAATATACTGCTGCACACTTTCACACAGAGAACATTTACTGTTTTTATTGGGATATTTTGCATAGGGTAATGCTCACGGGGGGAATTGGATCTTTTGACCAAGACAACTGCCTGGATGCTGATGTTGCAAATATCCCTCAATGGTGTCTTCAGTTACATGGGCTGAGACTCCCCAAACTGCTCTGGTGATTCTATGTGATCATTACAGCATATGCATGATCAGTTCTTGTTGATTATCTTAAGCTATGTAAGAAACACAACTATGAATAAAAGACAGCGCCACGTACCTATCTTTTCATAGGCAGGAACAATTTCCACTGGCTATATAAAATTATGTACGGTTTGGTCAGTTCTTGAATTGACAACAGGAGCTGCTTGGGAAAATCCCAGGCTGTGTACTGGATCTTTCACCCCAAGTCATTAAGCAATATATCTTAACATACAGATAAAGTCCATCAGCTTACAGAGCAGAGTTCCTGCCTATCAGCAGGAGCTACGTGGGGAAAACCCTTCATATCCCCTGCTGCTGGGAAAGCTCCTGCAGCAATCAGTTGCTTGTTTTGTTGTGACGTGGCCATTGATCTCCTCAATGTCAAACTACTAAATTCCAATGAGTTACTTCTTAGCAGATCCATCTGTTGTCTCAGCTATGCAGTGATTAGCTGGAAAGCTCCTGGACGAGGCAGTCAATGATCAAGTGCCTTTGGCATGAAGACCAGCAAAGCCTTCATATCCAGCTGCACCAAAACTGCAAATATAAACTTGATTTTCATCCTTGCATCACAGCAATAACTCAAATTCCTTTGATTTTACCACAATACCTGAACCGCTGACCAGTTTCTGCCTTGTCTCACTCACTATTTTCTCATCCCCACACATGAGTGCTCAAAAGCATGCTCTACAGAGCCAGGAGGTGGCAAAGGATTGTGTCAAATACAAATAGGTTGAGGATCTTATACAATGGGAACAAGGATTTCCGGAGTGCCTGAACACTACCCTAGAGCACCTGGGTTGTAGCACTTCACAGGGAGGAGGAAGAGGAGGGAAATGAAAAGAGCTGACATGCAGAATGAGATCATCTGAGGGATTCTGCACAAAGGCAGAATATCCTACACAACATTCTACTGAAGGATGACCCCAGTCTTTCAGAGGGATCGTCATCTTTAATCCCATATCTTTAGTTAATGCTGGTGCACTTATCTGTTTGATGATGCTGTTCTTTCCTAAGAATCACATTCTCTTAGCCCTAAGATCAATACTTTTTACATGCCAATATAAAAAATGTACAATTTGTTAAACCTAAAATGGTGCAATTAGCTTGGAAAGTTGCAATAAAATAGCAAATTCCATTCCTCCCACCCACCTTGTCCAAATTACAAAACAGTGCAGAAATACGTAAGTTTTTATTAATTGTTATTGTTTAACGAGTGACAATTTTCATAACAAAAAAAGTTCATTACATATTTTAAATTTTTTCTTGCATTCTAAATATATATGGGCAGTTCCAAACAATTAACCAATCCAGAATAACAGTGCTGGGCAAGATAAAACTTAAATTAGCATTTTCAACATAAAAACCTACAAAGGGGGAATGTTTCAAAAATACATCACACACATACAAACATGGGTTTGGGTAGAAACTAACAGGACCAGTGCTTCTAAACCAGTTACACACTTTTAAAAAGCCTCCTGACATAACTCTTCAGTCTTTATACAGTGATCTTCAAAGTCCATGAACAATAGTTCAGTGATTAGTTGAACAAATAACCAACACTTCTAAAAAAGAAGTGCATCTATTCTATTGCATCCAACCCTGTACAACTGACCGTATGATGCTTCAGCATACATATTTATACTGAAAAAATATTTTACCCTCTTGATTACAATTTCTTTAAACATTTTGAGTGATGTCAGTGACAAACTACAAAAAAATGAAAAAGCGTAAAATCTTTGCTCTTTTAATACTGAGATGTACAAATTCAAGGCATGAATCTCAAATACATTGGCACTGATTTCTCATCTGACGTTTGTCTGCTGAGTGGCTGAACTGCCTGTACCGACTTGCGAAAGGCGCCACAGCTGGATGGTCACTTTCCACATTCAGAAGGAATTGCACATGGGGTAGGTTTTTCAAACTGATTTGTTCTACTCGGCAGTTAGGGTGTGTGTATATGGCCAGGGGCAGCAGCTTGGCTCAGGCAGTCACACGTGAGTAGTAACTCAATTGCATTCTCATCTCCCAACCCACATAACGCTTCGCATCCAGACACACTGTGCCCCTTCTGGTGTTTGTGATGAGCTCTTTTCTTTCCTCTAGGTTTGTCGACTACAACTTTATTAAAAAAAAATAGTACATAAAATACTAATAGATCAACATAACAGTATAATTAGTACCAATAAGGTGAGCAAAATCACAACTGCAAAACTGAGTAGTTGGGAAGCACCTATTTCGTTTAGGAATCTCATTCCATGTTAGGTATTTTTGCTGAGTAATTGGATTAGGTTGCACACACTATTTCAAAAGATTTATCTGCTTTCTTCTGTGCCCAGACTGAGATGAAACCAAGAGAAAACAGTAACAGAAAAAACCCCACATCTGTAAGAGCTCTCTGTTGAACTTGGATGGGCATTCACAAAGCTGGATTGCTTCCAAGACATGATTCTAGATGATTGCCTAGAGCAAACCTGTTTACCAAGTCTAGCCCTCAGGAAATAATGAACTGCTAATTAAAGACCTGACAACCTACCAACACTAATCAAAGTCAAGTAACAGAGAAGACCAGATAGTATAAACAGAAGGTTAAACATTGCCCCTTTGAGGTCTAAGGCTGGATTACAAAGGAGGAAGAAAAAAGTTATCCAAAATACATGGCACTGTTGAAAAAGAACGTGGTTTCTATTGCTAAAAGGAGTCAAAGTATACTCAAAGTTTTAAGAGATTTCAGGCAATGGCTTTTTTGTTGATGTTGGTATTTTTTAATCTAGAGCTGCTTATTTTCCTGTATTATTTTCTTTTCCTCTATCTATAATTTTATTTTTACCGTATCTATTTTGTTTTTACTAACTAAATTAAAAAGTCCCCTCTCTTAAAAGTTTGCAAAGCTTGTACATCTGTAGGCTATCATGGTCAGGTGTACATGAAGTGGTGAACCGTAAGGTCAAAATTTAAGAGCTGTGGGGAAGTGTACTTCAGTTCTGGGAGAATGGAGACAGTCAGAGAGGGAGACTGTGGCTACCAGTGCAGGCTGCTTTTAAGTTTCTACCTGCAAATAACAAACAGGACCTGTCCAAGGAGCAAAGCCAGGTGCAACAGCTGTAACCCAAGGAGGTTCCTACAAGCTAACCAGGTAGCAGCCAGTGTCCTGGGAGGCAGAGGCAGCAGCATGGTGACATCATCCCTCATGGAGGCACATTGCTGGGTTACAACTAAAACTCTAGCTGAGAAAAAAATACAAGTATTCCTAACATATCTCCAACACGATAAGAATGTAACTTCAAGTTTATACACTCTAGTACTCAAGAATGGATCCTGAGCCCCAATGAGACTCACATCAGTCTGTTTCTTTACATGTTATTTTAATTAGCATCTTCCCTATGTTTCATTCTTAAAATACTATTTGTATATCAAGCTGGAAGACAATGAAAGGCTGATGAATTTGAAACAGGATCATGCTATTCCCCCCCCAGAATACTAATACATACATTTATACACACACACATTCACGCATACACGTACTTGTATGAATGTATGTACAGACATGTAGGATTTGTGTCAAGCAGCTTGCCCAAACATTGTCCCTTCTGAATATCTGCCTCAAAATCAGTCTTGCTTAAACAAACTTTGAAAAATGGTAGTAATGATAATAATAATAAAAAAAGATAGTCTTATGATACCATGTAAAAAGTCAGGGATAAGGAGCACAGTGTGCTACCGCACTTGGGGGAGACAAACCACACTTCCCTGTTGATGGAGTGTGACCACCAACTAGGTAAATCCCTCTAAACCCAGTTCTATTTTGCTGCTTCTGATACCTGTGGAAGCTGGCCTATCTCTACACTACACTGCAGTCTGCAATACAAACACACTCACAGAGTTTAAGAGCATGCACAGCTCGCCGGAGCGTCCGCTGTTAGTGAAAGGAAAGGCACCAGCACCGCATGTCCCATGCAAATACAAGTGCAGTGAGGAGGGGAGATGGCAACACGGTAGAAGAGTTTAACAGCTTCGGACTACAACTGTGATTGTCCCTACCATGCACGGTGGATCACGCAGAATCCCATTACTTTCCCTACTTAGTGTTTTCCTAACATGGCCTTTTCTACCCTCTTGAACTTCTGCAGTTCAACAGCTAGTTCCCAGTTTCTCAGATACAGCCACATAAGCTTTCCATTTTGACTTTTGTTTCTGTTCAGCATATTACCACAGTAGTTATCATATTTGAAAATATCTTTTAAGCCACTTTCCACATGTAAAGCCATAGCAACAGGATCAGTTGCTGCTTTAACTAGCAGATTTTTCTCTATTTCTAGTCTCTGACTTCTGGGTACAACGAGACTGCAGTAGATGTCCTGTCTTTCTTTAAGTCCCTCTTCAAATTCTTTCAGTAAAATATTGGCTCTCTTTTGCCACTCTTCTTCCTTTGCCAGGCAACTCTGGTACAAGCTACCTTCTGCTCCTGAGTGCAAGAGGACTTGCTTTTCTCGCTCCAACTTCTCCTGTTCCTGTTCTAGGAGCCTCCTTTCTTCTACTAGTTTGCGGCTCTGGGACACGAGGGCTTCGCGGTAACTCAGGGTTCTGTTGCGTTCCTTTTCCAGCTCCACCTCCAAGTGAGCAACAGCACGACGGTTCTCCGTGATTATATCCCGGTATTTGCCTTCCAGGTCTTTTTGTAAAGATGACTGCTTTTTATGGTACTCTTGTTTTTCTCTTTCTATTTCTTTTTGACATTCTCTGGTCCAGATCCAACCTACCATATATAAATGAGACTTCAGACACGAGTATAGCATAAAACAGTGACAGGTGCGATTAATTAACTATGCCTCAAAGGAAGCTATTAAGTGGTAAATAACTCTCTCTCCTGCCCTCCCCAGTGATACTTCTATTTACATGTCCCCACAAAATGTATTTCTGTGGTCCCTCTTTCACAGTAAGTCGCTTTAAATAATCATGTTTTCCCCGAAGTAAAATATTCCCTATTCCTTTATTGCCAATACTTGCAACACTCGCATTAAAGAAAGAAAATAAAGTCATGCAGAAACAAACTGGAGGTTTCCAACGCAGGTACTGCACTGAGAACCTCTGAGGTCCAGTAAATAAATATACATCAGCAACTTCTTGGGTTGCTACCTTGGGGCTCTCTAGTACGTGTTGGGTCCACTCCTCCGAGAGAACTTTATAAACTGGATCTTATTAAACATAGATTCCGTTCCATGTAGGAAAAATGGCCACTGCCTTAGCGTTATGAGCAGTACTGGTTGTTTACAAACAAGACGACCTGAGGAAATCCCCAGACAGGGCATGGCTTTATCCCTGGGCTGCAGCAGAGACTCGCCCTGGACTGGGGGCGAGGCCGGGGCACAGCCCCGCGCCCCGGCTCCGGCGCTACTTACGGAAGGCGGCCAAGCCCAGCATGGGGACCAGCAGAGCGTAGTTCCATCTGCTCCCGTCATCACCGGGATCGCGCCGATTGGGCTGGATGTTCCAGTGGGGAGGGTTGTTTAAGTTATTCATGAAGGCACCTGAGGCGTACAGAGGGGAGATACGGCCTCAGCAGCGAAGCGCGCAGAGGGGCAGGGACCGCTCCCTCTGCTACCCTTTCCTCCCGCTGCGGGGCTGGGAATTCTGTCCGAGCCCCTCGGACGGCGGCCCCGACACTTGGGAGCGTGGCCGTGCTCCGAACGGCCAACCCGGACCGCCCCGCGGCGGCACCCCAGGCCCGTCCCCGTCCCCACACCCCTATCCCCATTCCCATCTCCGGCCCCATCCCCCTCCAGCGCGACCCCCACGCACGAGTCCGGAAGCGCGCGGGGCCCTGCCGTTGCCACTCACCTGCCGGCCCCGCCCCCTCCCGGGCCGGCCCATCAGCCGAGACAAAGCGGGGGGAGCCGAGGGGGTGGGACAATAAATGGACGCTGCCGGGCGTCCCTCCCCGCCCCAGACGGGCCCTTTTTATTCCATAAACATCGGCTGCGGAACACAAATATTAGTGGCATCTAAACCCTCCGAATTGGCTGAATCTCCTTTTGATTTGTTTTGTTTTTTGTCTCATAAAGAAAATGCTTCACAGTCTTTTCCTCACTCTTTTGCCCAAACCTTATGTTTACAAAGCGATCTTTCCCACAGCTTTAAAAAAAATAATTGTGGCCTGTTCGTTAAGCGGCAATATTTCAAGCACTGTCAAAGAGAGGAGAGGCCGAATCCTACAGTGCCGGAGAAGTACATTTTTCAGTATTTCACCAAGAAAAAAATAATGGCAGTAACAGAATTCTAGGTTCGTGTTTTCTGTGGGGGTTTTTTGGTTTGTTTTATTTTTTTAATTCCTCTGAAAACAGAAGCTGTTTAGGAGCCTTTCCTCACGGAAAAGACACACCCGCAAGCAGGTTTTCTGAAAGCAAACACGCAGCTGTCGGGTCGTATCCCTCAGGCGGCATCGAGCCCGTGACTTGGTCTCCCCGCCCCCCCGGCAGGGTTGGTCTGTTCCGCCGAGCCTCGCGCCTGCGTCTTGCCCGCCCGCTCCCCCCGTGCCCGCGGTGCGAGATGGCGGCGGCGGCTGCGCGGGGGCTGGCGAGGCGGTGGCTGCGCCCGGCGGCGGCCTTCGCGGGCGGTGAGTGCCTGTCCTTGTTTGTGCCCCCCTGCTTGTGCCCCTGCCCGTCCCGCTGCCCGACCCTGGCCCTGCCCCTTCTGCCGCCGCTGGCGGCGCCCGACCCCGCTGTCTCCCCGTGACCTTGACCCGCTGGTGCCTCGGCTCCCCCCCCTCGCAGGCTCGGTCTTTCTGATGTCGTTTCTGGAGCCGTGCCGACCTTGCTGCTCGTGTCCTGGAGGCAAGTTACTCCTGAGGGGAAGACCAGGGAGTAGGTGGCTGTGGGCATGGCCGGGCCGCGCCTCCCGAGCGCCGTAGCCTGAGGCCGTGAGCGGAGTCCTGAGGGAATGAGGGAGGCAGCGGGAAAGGGATGTGCCGGGGAAAGGCCCTGGAGGGGCCTGGCAGGTGCAGCTCCAGCATCGGGGTGAAAAGGTCGCCGCAGGCTCCCTATATATCAGGAACAGTGTGGCTAGCAGGACCAGAGAAGTCTACTTAGCGCTGGTGAGACCACCTCTCGAATACTGTGTCCGGTTCTGGGCCCCTCAGTTCAGGAAGGATATTGAGGTGCTGGAGCAGGTCCAGAGAAGGCCAGCGAAGCTGGTGAAGGGTCTGGAGCACAAGTCTGATGAGGATTGGCTGAGAGAGCTGGGATTGTTCAGCCTGGAGAAGGGGAAACTCAGGGGTGGCCTTATTGCTCTGTACAACCACCTGAAAGGAGGTTGTGACCAGGTGGGGCTTGGCCTCTTCTCCCAGGTAGCCAGCGATAGGATGAGAGAGTATACTGCACCAGAGGAGGTTTAGGTTGGGCATTAGGAAGAATTTCTTCCCAGAAAAGGTGGTCAAACGTTGGAATGGGCTGCCCGGGGAGGTGGTGGAGTCACTGCCCCTGGAGGTGTTTAGAAAAGACTGGATGTGGCACTTGGTGTTTATGGTCTTGTTCACAGTGATGGTATTTGGTCGTCGGTTGGACTTGATGGTCTTAGAAGTCTTTTCCAACCTAACAGATTCTGTGATTCTGGACCTGCATAGGAAGCCAGTGTATATCTTTGTGTTGCTTGAAACTGCTGGTGATTCTGGCAGAAGGGGCTGCTGAGGCATCTGGTAGGTTTGTGTTAGCTGGGCTGTAAGCTGCAGGTCCCGAAGGAAGGTTTTTTCTTCTCCGTGGTGAGGTGGGAGTTTGCAGTTTCTTTCCCCTGTTCTCACCCTGTGTGTGTCCGTACAAGCTTGGGGTTACAAAAGATAAACGTGTGGGAAAAGGACCTTGTAAATACAACTGTACTTGTCCATGTCTTACACAGCAAGTGCAGAAAATACAATCTACTGAGACGAGGAAAAGTTTAAAGAGTGTGTCTGTTTTAGATGGCCCTGATGGGACCTTTAATTTCATAAGAGTCACAATCTTCCCTGTAGCATTACAGTTCAGGATTACTGTGATCAGTGTTTCCTTCACATTTATTACAACACCTTCTTCTGCTTTGCGGACTTTTGTTCAGACTCATTCTAACCAAATTCAGTGGCAAGAGAAATTCTTATGTATGGCTCTAACAAAACAATTGTATGTGAATGGGAATAGCAGTTCTGAAGACTTGTTTTGCAGAAGCTTAGATGTGAAAAGAAAAGCAATCTGCTAAACAGTTGTATATTTTGTGGCTTTTTTTAATAATATACTTCCAGAGTTCTCTGATGCAAAATGTATTAGATAACTGTTGATAGTGACTTCAGAAAATAATAAAAGTTTTTAGAAAGTAAATCAGTTGCAAGGTATTGTGTCAGAATTCTGACTGGAGATCGCAGTAGGCTGTTTAGTCTGAGGGGAGAAAAAAAAGATTCAATTTCTTTTGAGGCTTTAGAGCATAACCAGTTATGGTTTTCTCCCTTCAGTCATTTGCACTTTCTTTAAGCAATACCAAGTATGTACAGATCTCTCTTTGTGTGCTGTCTTCACATACAGTTAAGATTTTGTTTGAATCACTTAATCCAATAACTGAATGTGTTGTTGCACATGTGTAAGAAGTAATTTATTGCAGTGAAAGGAGCTGTACTGTTGATGGAACAGCGTTTTGGGAACAAGCAGGTAGTGTCTGCTACAGAATACGTGGCTGCTGCATTTCAAGTGTGCGGCGTAGAGTTCTGTGGGTTTCCCTCCAGGCCTGTGAAAGTAGTTTTGCTGCAAAGAGGCGACCCCATTTCTACTTGAGCTGTGACTTGGGAAAGCTGGTTTTCAGTTAAATTGTGTCTGATGTTTAGGTTTCATCTGGCTGTCAGTGGACTAGTTGATCTGTTTTTGCATATGAATGAAGAATGTTAATGAAGAAGATTGATACAGAGGTTAAGATGGTCATGGAATTGCCCCAAGGCATGATAACAGGGCAGTGTTAAGATTGATCTTATTCTAAGATAACTGTAAAAACCAGAAATATGTTAGCAAGTCTGAGTACACAGACTTGTGTAACTTGCTGTTATTCAAGAAGATAATTTGAGGAAACTGGTATGAGAAATGACAAAACTAAGTTGAGGGAAGTGTTCTGTAGTTCATGTAAGAGATGAGCAAAGAGGTGGACATTTGGAAGTGATGAGGATGGAAGAGCTGCTTGGTAGTGTAGTGTAGGGCGATGGAACTATGAATGTAACAGTTGCTGGAAAAGACAGATATCACTCCAGTGCATTTTAGGATATATTTCAAATACGGAAGTGCTGATGTCACTGGGCAGGTGACTAGTATGGCTTTGTGGTGCTCTTCTCAGCAGTCATACATGCTGATTTAGGTGTGTTTTTTGGGCTTCGTAAAGAAGTTCCAATGTGTTGGAGAGGGGGAGACTAAAATTCTAGTTGTTTTAATCTACTGAAGCAAAGGCTCAGTACTGAGTAGGTGTGGGTGCTTTTGGTTTGATTTGCTTTTGAATATGTCAGGGGAGAGGGAATGACATTGCAGAAGGGTAAAACTCGTGCCCCTGTGCTTCATTTAAGTATTAATAAATGTTTTTAAGTGTGTCACTAATTTAATAAGAGCATGAGAAAAAAGAAATGTCTCTGACTTTTGAAGAAATGCTTAACTGGAACAGCATTCCCTTCAACCTATTTTTTCAGTCTTCATTATTCTGACTACCTGAAATAATTCAAATTATGATGATTGCTCAATATGAGAGGTATTTGCCATTACTTCCTGTGGTTCTTATTATGCTGTCTTCATCTTTGCTTAATTATGAAAAAAAGATGGAAGAAATCTACAGCATTATTTACAAACATATTCTTCTGTTGGTGCTGCCTCAGAGAGGTCTGAGAGACTGGTCACTGTTCGTGAAGTACATAAGGGATAGTCTGTGACATCCTGTTAATTACAGGGTGTTCTCTCATCCGGTCAAAACTTGATACTTTCCTGCTTTTTATTCTCAGTGTGATCATAGAAAGATAGAACTTCATTGCATGTAGCTCTAAAATGTATTCATACAATAGTCTTGTGTGCATGGTGTCAGTGGTAAGTGAAAATTTGTTATGAACGTAGGGTAGCTGAGAATGCCCAGAGTCTTCCTTGTGGAAACCTTTGTTCTAAAACAGTTGTCTCGGCTTCTTTCCGCAGTGGCCAGCGGCATGCCAGATTCCTGCACGCAACTTACACTTCACCGTCTATGGAAAGAAAAACGCTTCTACGAAGGTTTCTGATTCGGTAGGTTTGTGGGTTTTGTATCATGAGTAACAGATTAAGTAATACACCTAATGCTTGAGAGTGTGTAACAGCCAGGTACTTGGCTTCTAGTGGAGTGTTGTGTTCAAGTACCTAGTGAGACTGATTTGCTGAAATACCTGCCTTTTTTTAATGATAGTTTTCACCCAAGAGCGTATAACAGATGTAGCAATTGCTGCAAGAGTCTGTGAAGAACACTGAACTTATACTGCTTGTGTTTCTATGAAACTTGTTTGATGTATCTTGAACTATTTGTGATCATAACAAACTGATTTATTTTTCCAGATTTCTACACAATACCCAGTAGTGGACCATGAATTCGATGCAGTTGTTGTGGGTGCGGGAGGAGCAGGTCTGCGGGCTGCATTTGGTTTGTCAGAAGCTGGATTTAATACAGCCTGTGTTACCAAGCTGTTTCCCACCCGATCTCATACAGTTGCTGCACAGGTGAGAAATGAGGTAGAACAAATGTTTAAAAAATGCTTGCTGTCAGAAAGCTGATTTGGATATAGAATCATAGAATGGTTTGGGTAGGAAGGGACCTTAAAGATTATCCAGTTCCGACATCTGTGCCATGGGCAACAGTGCCGCCCACTAGATGATGTTGCTCAGAGCCCCACCCAAACATCATGTTTCAAGGCCACACTTTCATTTATAAATATTACATATTTAATTGAAACTTTCATGGAGGGCAGTATATCGTAGAATCACAGAATCATTAAGGTTGGAAAAGACCTCTGAGATCATACAGCCCAACCATTAGCCAAACACTGCCAAACTTTATATTAAGTAACAGGTACTTTTCAGTGTCTTTCCAACCTAATGACATTGCAAGACACATTTTTTTAATCTCCCTTTCAGTTGTTCTTATAATTTTTATTTCCTCACTTATGTATTCATTTCACCATACTGCCTCTTTTTTCTTCCCTTTTCTAAAGATTTTCAAAATGCAGTGCTGCTTCTGTGTAAGTTTGTGATTCACTGTGTTTCACAAAACTGCAAGATGAGTCACTGTGAAACTGAGAAATTTCAAGTTTTTCAGAGCCACATGAAATCTGACTTTACTGTATTTCATGTACACAGATGCATAAGTGGTGTGTGTTTGTTTTTTTTTTTAATAGAAATGAGATAAACCTACTAAAACTGTATTTTAGTAATGTAATTCTAGGCAAATGGATTTTCACTTTCAGGGAGGGATCAATGCTGCTCTGGGAAACATGGAGGATGACAACTGGAGGTGGCATTTCTATGACACAGTGAAAGGGTCCGATTGGCTGGGGGACCAGGATGCCATACACTACATGACTGAGCAAGCCCCAGCTGCGGTGATAGAGGTGAGACCCACTGGAACTGATGTCAGCTGTAGTTATTTATTACATAGGCTAGCTCCCAAGGAGATCTCCTTAAAATAACTGGTTGGATTGTTATGCACAAGAGCTTCTGATGCTTCTTTTTGGGTTCAACAGCTGGAAAATTATGGCATGCCGTTCAGCAGAACTGAAGAAGGAAAAATCTATCAGCGTGCATTTGGTGGACAGAGTCTTCAGTTTGGAAAAGGAGGACAGGCTCACAGATGCTGTTGTGTTGCAGACAGGACAGGACACTCACTCTTACATACTCTATATGGCAGGGTAAGCAGTGGTAAAGTAAATTTGGGTTGGGTTTTTGCATTTACAGTTAAAGATATTTTTTTTTTCCTTTTTTCTCCTAGAGTTTGAAAAAAAAATCAAACCCAAAACCAAACAAAACCTGTAGCTGTTCACATATGAATGAGGAATCCAGGGGAATGGCTTATAACAGTTCTGGGTTTCCTTCCTTTGTGGGGCAATGTGGAAGGATATAGCCTAGGTGATACTTGTTTTTTGTCAGGAGTAAGCAGAAACAGAATAAATAGAAAGATTGTAAATATAATGGCTTTCATGAAGACAATGGATGTTAATTAGTGTACACTGTTAGCTTCATGGTCTGGAGTAATTCTGCACTCTTAGTGCTTTCGTGTCTGTTGATAGACCCAGAAAGAATTTATGTAAATTTTCCCCAAAAAAAACTTCTTTTTCAAAACATTTGAGACAGCAGCATTGGGGAGCTCTGAAAAGAAGTACAAGACAGCATTGTCTTTCACTGTTATTCAAACGAGGACCAGGGGAAGTTGAGGTGTAGCTGGATTAAGGCCCACTGTGCATTTCTGAGCTTGCTCTGTGGCAAGTAAGTGACTGGTGTTCCAGCATTTCTGCCTATTAATTCTACAGATCATAACTGAAGAAAGTTCTGGTTGTTTGAAAATCATAGCGAGCTGCTTGAAACCTGAAATTAAGTACCTAATACCTACTGTCTTTTATTTACTTGGCAGCTAATTGCACTCCTTCAGGTTTGCACTGTGTGTGCGGCTGCAATTCAAATGCTCAGTGCTGCCAAACATTGCTCTGATCCTTGAGGGCATGAAAAAATGTTTGACTTGGTGCCCGCTGCTCCTGCTGGTATAATAGGCTCCCAGAGATATATTCCATTCCTCCTGGAGAGCTTAAGTACAACGTGCTTGTACGTGTATCCAGCACTGCAGCTGGGGTAGCCTGTTGCCAAATGTAGAGGTGAAATAACAAGTCTGCTGGCTAGCTATGGCTTCTCAGAATTAAGTGATTTGGTAGTTACCTGTGTCTTTCTAAGCTAGAATAGATTAATTAGCAATTTTTTATAAATATTTGAGTGCAAACAGTCTTCCCTGAGAGTTGGTGGGTGGTGTTTGCTATACTGGTACAGCCCACACACATTGACAGTTTTGAAGAGAGGTTACTTAATTGTCTCAATTTTTCTTAAAGTTCCCTTTTTAATTTTCCCCCAGTCCCTACGATATGATACAAGCTACTTTGTTGAATATTTTGCCTTGGACCTACTTATGGAGAATGGAGAATGCCGTGGTGTTATTGCCTTGTGCATAGAAGATGGCACCATACATCGTTTTAGGGCAAAGAACACGGTCATTGCCACTGGGTAATGTAATGTTTGTGGTGAGGGACAGAAATTTGGGAGTGTTACTGTTGGCAGTCTGTGTGTTTGTGCATGTGTTTGAATCCACAGTGTGGAGGGGATACGTTATAGGTTAGTTCCCTCTACCCCGAAAGCGATATAACTGAATTCAGTCATTCCCTCTGAAAGAAGGCACATACTAATTTTGTGACCAAGTATAAATTTGGTTTGAGATCTGACTTTGAGTTCTAGAACACTGACATAAACTAGGAATGTATAAGAATGGTATGTGTGATTAAACTGGTCTTTGGTTTTTAAAACTTGCTGTTTAAAGCAGATACTGTTGCAATGCTACAAATGTGTATGTATATCTGTAGAGTCTCAAATTTCCTTTAGAAAACAGCTATTGTCAAAATTCTGAAGAATCTATGACATTAAGATGTTACCATTGTAATTCTAACTGTTCTAGGATGAAATTAGCAGAATATGAGTGTAACCTAACATTACTTGGTTGCAAAGTTTGTATATGTTTATTATAGTGCTATATGCATTAGTCTTTTGCTGCTTATGGCTGTCTCCTATCTATTTCAGTATATAAAACATTTATAAACATATATGTCAAAGAAAACTATTTAGCTTGGTTGCCTATGTGATATTGCTTTCTTAAAGCCAAGGCAATTTTCATACTTGTGTACTTTTAGGTACATACAATATGTACATTGATATTTCTTTTGAGAGTTTGTCCTGAACTTTGGCTTATTGGCAGTTCTCAATAACATGGGAGGCTAACCTAGTTTTCAAAGTAAGAATTCATGTTTAATACCTAGAAAACTAAGTTTTTAAATATAAGAATATAAAGTTAGGAGCCATATTGAGGATATAAATCATTGTTATATGCAATTTTTTATAAAACTGCTAGTAATAGTTTGAATTAAGTTGAATGGTATTGGATTGATAGAATTTCCTGAAATAACTTGGTTTTTTTTGCTGGCAGAAAGGCTTCTGATATTACCCTAACTAGCCTGCTTTGGAGTTGGTATTCTTTTTTTTTTGACCTTCCGTCACCAGCCATTTTCAAATATGGTTGAGCGTAACAGGGCAATACCAGTTTTGTTTTCTTTTGGTTGAACTTAGTGCAGGAGAGGGCAAACCTTATGCATTTTTCTTATTGACCCTTTGCTCTATTTCCACTGTTATACAAACACCATAATTGAGTGACATGTTCTGGTGATGTTTTAATTTTTCTTCCTGCTGATTCTGTTACCTTTTGTGTTCCGCAGTGGGTACGGCCGCACTTACTTCAGTTGTACCTCTGCTCATACTAGTACGGGTGATGGCACTGCAATGGTCACACGAGCTGGGCTTCCTTGCCAGGACTTAGAATTCGTTCAGTTTCACCCTACAGGTACAGAATATGAAATAATACTCACAAACACTATTTTTAACGAGTTGAAGAAAGCAACAGGCTTTGCTTTGCTTTAAAATGTGCTCAAGTCAGTTTGCACTCTTCTGCAGCACTTCATTAGTTGCTTGAGATGTGTTTAGATTTGTCTGCAACTCCTGTTGAATATAAATCTGAGAGTCAGACTTACAGTGTGGGAAAGGTCTCAGCTGTTCCAATTTAAAGACCAGTGTTAAATATCTTGAGGTACTGTCTTTACTAACAGGTTTTATGAATTCAAAGCTGAAACTGCTTCACCTCTTAAACTTATATCTCCTTTGTCTTTAATATTTTAACGGTTAAGGTACATATTTAGGACTGTAGTTTTATAGCATGAATCAGTATCTAAACTGTGAACAATGATTGCAAACTAGATTTCTTTTGTAGCTGATTAAATGCTTCATTTTAATTTGCAGGGTTTTTTTTAACTGTTTGCTTAATTTTACAATCATAGACATCCAATGTTTATTTGACTGACTTAAAGTTTTTCCAGTTAAAGAAGCTTCATTGGTTGTGTGATAATTCTGTAGCTTTTAAGATAATTATCAAGTGCATGAGTTGGTTTGTGGTTTTGTTTTCTGTGGTGACTAATGCTGAAGGCTAACAGATGGGTCTTCCTTCTCTAAAGGAAAAGAAAACTGAATATTCCACACAATTTGAAGTCAGTCTGTACTGCTTTAGCCCAGGAGAAGAGGAAACAAAAATAAGCAAATAATTGTAAAATTCTCCTTGCACATTGATGGGTGCAGATTGCTTCCAGTTTTAATATTTTAAATACTGTGGGTGTTCCAAATCAACTTACTTACCTTTCAGGAAGAGTGTTTGAAAGGAATAACAACACTTTTTTCTATGTAGTCCTGGGGGACAACTCCTAGTGGTATATTTAGGGTGGAATGAAGTCTGCCCATCTGACTTACTTGCATTATTATTAGGAAGATCTTGTTTATTCCGTGTTTGTCATCCTGATTGTGAAGCTGTGTAGAAAATATCTCATTTGATGGTATTTTCTTTGTTGAACAGGTATCTATGGGGCTGGCTGCCTTATAACGGAAGGGTGTCGTGGAGAGGGAGGTATCCTAATTAACAGTCAAGGTGAAAGATTCATGGAGAGATATGCACCTGTTGCTAAGGATCTGGCTTCCAGGGATGTAGTGTCTCGTTCTATGACCATAGAAATCCGTGAAGGAAGGTTAGTTACATACTCTTAACGAAGCTGCAGAATAAATACTCAATCATGCTAGACTTTATGTGGTGCAGTAGTTCATTTGATAAGCACATGATAATTTGTGAGAGTGAGCTTTAATAAGTGTTAGCTGATCTCCTCGTGTAAGGCTGAAATTTTTCTTGTTAATTCCTAATGATACTGAAAGAGAACAGAAGATGTTAGGAGTCTCCTGTTTGAATTTGATGTGTCTAGAGACAATTGCTCTTAATATATTTGCTCTTACTGTAAACAATGAACATAATTTGGTGCTCTCTTCTCTTGACTAATTATTTGTACATATTTCTGCAGAGATATACTGGTTTAAAGTCTTAAACAGTGTGAATTATTATGAAAAGAAAGCTGGGAGTTGGAAAATGGTCTTAATTCTGCCAAGTGCAAGAGTCTTATTAATGTCCTAGATATTAATTTTTGTCAGATAACATTTGAAAAAAAAAGTTATTTATTTTCACAAGCAAAACAAACTGGATTAGAAATGTTACTAGTGTTTGTAAATTCCTGTTATGTATTCCAGTGTTGCCCTTTTTTCGGTAGGGGTTGTGGTCCTGAAAAAGACCATGTATACTTGCAGTTGCACCACTTGCCACCACAGCAGCTAGCAACCCGTCTCCCAGGGATTTCAGAAACAGCTATGATATTCGCTGGAGTTGATGTCACTAAAGAGCCTATCCCTGTTCTGCCTACTGTGCATTATAACATGGGAGGTATTCCTACTAACTACAAAGGACAGGTAAGTAATATACATCACTTTTGGTTTTTTTTTTTCATCATCATTGTAATAGGAAATTATTTCCCAAATATAAAAGCATTAAGAATGTTTTTCATAAATGTAAGGATGATTAATACCATTATTAATAGTAATATAATGATGATGTCAGAATACTTCAAACACACAATTTGGTTTGTTTTTAAAAATAACCTGAAAACCATATTCCAGTCCATCTGGAGAGGTGGGAGTTCCCAGAAACATCTAAAATGAAGTTACTGTCACATCTGACAAAAATTCTCTGTTTATCAAGTTGAAGATAGTATAGTTGAACACTGATCAAACTAGAGCTCTGTTGCAATCTGTAACTTGAGTTAATATATATTAATTCTCTGCAGTTCATGTGATCTGAACACTAAAGTAGATTCCTCCAACTGACACGAGTTAGAAGTCAATGTGATCATGTCAGCTAAATTCCTCTGTTCGTGTATTGTACTTGTAAAATTTTATTGTAAAATTTAACCTTAGAAATGTGTGCAGATCAGACTATTCCTGTGCATTTCCAACTCACTGCAAAATTGTCGGGAAACAGGGCCATGTACTCTTCATAAGCATGCATAAAGAAGTATTTGGGTTTAGTTCCATCTGCGTATAGTATTACTACTTACCCTTTAGAAGTAAGGTAATTATGGGTTTAGAGTTGGAGAAAACTTACAGTTGCTGTGTTTCATCCTTACATGCACATGACCTCTGCCAATAAGGAGGTTTGCAATGTTATAAATTCTTTGAAAAATGAGTATTAATTGTGTGTCTGAAATGACAGGTGATTACACATGTGAATGGTCAGGATAAAGTGGTACCTGGTTTATATGCTTGTGGGGAAGCAGCCTCTGCATCTGTCCATGGTGCAAATAGACTTGGAGCAAACTCACTTCTGGATTTGGTGGTGTTTGGTCGTGCCTGTGCCCTTACTATTGCAAATACATGCAAGCCTGGTAAGTCTCACTTTTTTAGAGACGTTCACCTTTATGATTTTATTTCTGCCCAACACAGAGTTGTTGCTGCCTGAATCAAATTTAGAATGATAGACATAGGCTCTTATTTGTTACAAAAGAAAGAAATCAGTGTTGATGCTTTTTATAGGCGTGTTCTTTGCTGTGAAAATATTTTGACATTAACATTTGCTTTGTAAGTTGATACTTTTAAAACTAGAATTGGGTCAGTGCTATTGGCAAAAACAGTTTGTTTTTTTTCACAAATTAAAACAGAATACTGAATGTGAAGACTGACTTCTCTACATCCTGCACTATCTTCTATGTCAAAATGTAGTCTGTCTTACACTTGGCACTTTTGTGTAGTGCAATTTGCTGCCACTTTGCTGATTTATAAGAAGAACTTACATGCAAGTGATAACAGATAGATACTAAACATCTCATTCCCTGATGAGATTTAATACTCACTGCTGAATATTAAATATTTTAAAATACTCTGGTTCAGCAACAGTTACTGAGCTGAAAAAACAAACAACTCCCCCAATAAAATACTGTTAGTGGCAGTTATATTGCCAGAGCAGCTGAATTCCAGCAGTCATCATCTATTTTCTCATTGCTTAATGTCCAAAATAATAAGACAGATTATTTTTTCAGTCTGACTGCACGAGGTGCAGAGTGATGGTTCCTGTTGGTATTGGCTTAGATCATGTGGTATTTCTTGTTTGGCTTTGTGCCAACATTTATTTGAATCTCTCTGTGGCTCCTTAGAGTTTGAAATTGTAGAAAGGGTTTTATTAGTCTGAACGCAAAGCTACAGGTGAAGTGAACTGTGCTGGTCAGATCCTGTGTTTGGTTTGTTACCTGGTAACACGTGGGTTCCAGTATTAGAGCTAAGAAGCAGAGCTCATGTAACTGCCAAGCTTATGGACCTGTACTGGTGCCTTAACAGATCCAAGGGAAGGTGGGAGGTTTGGGAATGAGGAGACAAGGAAAGTATAGGAAAAGGTGTTAAGGACCACAAGCTTATTCCATATTTTAGAAGAATTTTGATCAAGTGCTGCTTCTAAGGAATGAACAGCAGAATTCAGGCAAACCTGTAAAACCTCTATGAATTGTCATAGTAAAGAATGGGATTCATATGTTCCTCTGTGAACTTTATTTTTGTATGGATACTGTTGGTGGGAGTTCAGGAAAGTTACAGTTAATGTGTACCTCAGAGGAAACAAACATACGGTGTTTTAGTCAAATCTTTCAGTAGTCGTTAGTCTGTGAAACTGCCAGTAACCAAAGCCAAGCCAAACTACTAAACTTACTGCCACTTTCTTATTAGGAGAGCCAGTTCCCCCCATTAAACCAAATGCTGGCGAAGAGTCAGTTGCTAATCTTGACAAATTAAGGTTCGCTAACGGGAGCATAAGAACTTCAGAAGTGCGACTTAACATGCAGAAGGTAAGCCTGGTGGAGCTCTCAAGTACAGGGTGGGAGAAGCTGCAAGCAGCAGTGGGGTTCGATCACCTTGCAAAGTGCACTTCAGGATTTGCTTTGCAGAAGTAAAAAAGTGTGTGATAAGATTGTGTGCAGCAAAGGTTGTATGTCTTCTGTTAATTTCTTCTTCCCTTCATGGTCATTCCTCTTGTGTGGTTTACTTGCTGTATAATCGAGTGGGGTTTCATTTGTTTGGGGTGAATAGAAGAATGGAGTCAAATCCCTCTGTAGCAAACTCTGTTGGAGCTAAGGAGGTTACATGGGTTCGTTACATGCAGCATATCAAACTGATTTTGTTTTACTGTGTTGCAGGCAATGCAAAACCATGCTGCTGTATTTCGTACTGGTTCTGTACTCCAAGAAGGCTGTGAAAAACTTAGCCAAATTTACAGTGATCTGGCTCATCTAAAGACTTTTGACAGAGGTAATTTGATAGCAAACAATACACCTTGGTCAGAGTACTCTCTGGGAAGAGTGTTGGTGTTTGGGGTTTTTGTCCCATAAACTTTATGTATTTCTTGAAACTTTGGCTGAAGACTTTGACCATTTTGAATCTTTCAAAATATTTTGTAGAGCCCTACTTACTAAACGTGGTAATCAGTAAAATACTTGATCTTATTGGTCATTTTCTGGTTGCATTATCTTTCAAAGAAACAGAGACTGAAATTGGATTTAACTGTGTGAGGTACAAACTGCTCTTCTCTCAGAACATGAGGTGAAGTTGTTCTGATATTAAGATGAATGATGAACTTCATTAGTATCTTCTGAAAAGGCCAGGGAGTTGCAAGACTATTCATAGACTTAACACTCAGTTTTCATTCTTCATCTGAGCAGATCAAAGTGCATGCAGATACTGCCATGTCTGGCAATGTATCTTAAGAGAACTTGGTTATTTAAGTACAACTGATGATGTACCTTTTGTTCACTCACATGTATTTCTCTTCAACTACTGCTATTGGGCATGTTTTCTAACACTAAAAATAGAACTGGGTTTCTTGGACAGCTCTTGCTAAGCATCAAGAAAAGTTAAAATAGCTTAGAATGGAGATACATTTGTGTAAGTGAACTTGAGTCCATCTTGAAGAACCTTGTATGACTAGCAGGATTTATAGGTAGGAAGGAAGGGAAAACCCTGTTGTGTGGATCTACTAGGGATATACTTAAAGAGCTATCATGTAGTCAGATCTTAGGGTCTGAAATGAGGTATGGGGACTGAGTTTCAGGCAAGAATCTATGGTGTAATTTTGTCTCAATAGTACACATGCAACAGGGACTGGTAGAACTCTAATTTTTCTAAGATTCATGATGATTGTTAGGGTGTTGGAGTCATTCCTGAGCTTTGCAAGCAATGTGAATAATTCAGTGTTGTGGAGTACTGTGACTGCAGTATGTAGAGCTTTGGGTAGCTCAGTTCTAAGTATCAACAATAGGACAGAAGTAAATTGAGGAATGATTGTTTGTAGACCATTTTCCATAGTATTTTAATATTTTACTAGGTATTGTGTGGAACACTGACTTGGTGGAGACCCTCGAACTGCAAAACCTGATGCTTTGTGCTCTACAAACCATTTATGGTGCTGAGGCTCGCAAAGAGTCCCGGGGTGCCCATGCCAGAGAGGATTATAAGGTATAAATATTTTCTGTGACCTGCATGTAGGATTGAATTTCTTTGTTATGTGTCCTCAGATGGATTATTTTAAATTAGTAATTTTTTTCTAAGTACTGTCTTCAGTGTTATGATTAGTGTAGTATTTGTTTGGGGTCCCATCTGTTCTGCTTTATCTATTCTTATCTGTTATATATAAAATGACCAATATATGCAACACTGGGCAACAGTCTTGAGAAGAGTTGTTCAGTGTGTGCATCTGAATGATTAGAGACCTCTATAGCTCTCTACAGTAATACAGAGGACTTTCTAGTAATACAGTAGGACTGTAGTAATAACATTATGAATGCATAAACAGGACATAAGCTTGCACACACAGAATAATTGTCCTGTGCAAGGGAAGTTACCTTAAAGCCCTTGTTAAGCCTGAGGATTTAAAATTGGACACGAGCAGTGTTAAGATAAAGCTTGCTGTCTGTTTGGAGACACGCTGTGTTACAGTTGTAATTGAAGTGCAACTACTTGTGTGGTTTTAAAGTGATCTGCAGATATAACTTCTGGCCAAAACTAACCTAATTTTCTTCTTAGTTACGGGTAGATGAGTTTGACTATTCTAAGCCACTCGAAGGCCAACAGCGAAAGCCATTTGAAGAGCACTGGAGAAAGCACACCCTTTCATTCGTGGATATCCCATCTGGGAAGGTACATGATGCTTGAGGGTCTTTTTTGCTGTCAACAGACAGCTGCTTGCATAGACAGCTTTTGTAATCATGATAATACTGTCACAAAACTTATTTTGTTGCTGAGTGACTTTGCTCTTTGAACTGGAATTGTGTTTCCCCTTGTGTAGGCTAGTTCAAAAGCTTTTCTTTTCTAATGGTGACAAAACCTGTTGGTGGTGTTTAACACAGTGGCTTTATGGTATTTCAAAGATAGAACTGAATTGTGACCCTATAGAAGTCTTGACCTTTGGGGGGTTTTGAATCCTCTTAATTTCCTCTCCAGCCAGTTTTAACTTCCTTGAAACTAGTTTGGGGACAAGTGAGAACACTTCACTTCCTGAATAGCTGCTGAGAATGGAAAGAAACACAGTTTTGTCTCCTAACTGATCCCATTGGGTTCTCATCTGCAGGGCTTTCCTAGATGAAAGAATTAGGAGCTAGCAGTCTTAGCCAAAAGTTTACTTTTGTTCAAAGGCCTTTTTAAAGTCAGTCTTCTGATACCATTTCTGGTCAGGCTTTGCTTTTAAGGAATTTAGTCAGTGGTAATGTGATGGAACTTTTAACATTCCTTGTAGGTTACAAACTGTTCATTTTCTGTGGAAGGAAATTAATGGAGAAATTAGCTTAACATCCATGAAGTTGTTCTGTTATCTGTGTTATTTGGCCATTCCTATTAGCTAGACTGTCTTGTTTAGATGCAGGATGTTTGTTTGTCCTAAAGTTGTTTTTTCTTCCCTTTTGCTTCAGGTTACCTTGAAATACAGACCTGTGATCGACAGAACTTTGAACGAGGAAGACTGCCAGACCGTCCCGCCTGCAATCCGCTCCTACTAGCAACTTGCATTTCACTTGAAGCCCTCTCCCAGACGGGGCCAGTGTACATAAGCATAGCACAAGCAAAACAAAACAATGTTATCACTAGCAATGAATGGAAAATGCTGACTAAACATTTCTCCAGCTTGTATTCTGCTGTGGCTTATTGTACAATTATTAAAAATAGAATGCAGGAAAGCTTATGTTCTTTCACCAATCTGTCAAAACTGACAAGGACAACACAAAATGTGTCTAAATAAAGTCATTACAAGTCTTGTATTCGTATTTGTTTGAATATGCTGATATATATATATATAATTACAGTGCTTTTATCGTGAATGTATAGTTAATTTCCATGCTTTAAGAACAAGAAAGGTGATGCCTGGTGACAGGACGAGGGGCAATGGGCACAAACGGAAGCACAGGAAGTTCCATCTGAATATGAAGACAAACTTCTTTACATGGTGGGTGGCAGAGCACTGGAGCAGGCTGCTCAGACAGGTTGTTGAGTCTCCTTCTAAAGTTAAAAGCCTGCCTGGATACGATGCTTCAGGTGAACCTGCTTTAGCAGGGAGGTTGGGCTGGATGGCCTGCAGAGGGCCCTTCCAATCTTTCTGTGAAACGCATCGCATTAGTTTTAGACACAATGGAGATATTGAATTTTGGGATGTGGGGACTTAAACATCATAATTTATGATTATAAGTAACATTGCAGAAAAGAAGAATGATGCACTAGTAATTATAACTTTGTAGTGTAATACTTTTTTTTATTGAATAAAACAAGAGGTTTCTGCTTACTTCCTCCGTAATAGAATAATATGATATTCTATATAATGTAGACTGTAATAGTAATCTTTACTGACTCTGGAACTTCTAAAGCCATTTTTGTGGCATGCCCTGTGTGTGTATTTCCTCTTCACTGTCAGAGGAATCAAGGGGCAGAAGACTTGCCTAGATGTTAAAGCTTACCAAACTCCAATTTAATGTGCATTTAGTGCCAAGATGTAACTTGTAAGGCATTAATAGAGCAGTTTCTAGCAGCATTTCTGTGAATAACTTACAGTTCTTGGATGACGGAAGTGTAACTATGCAGACTGCAATTGAATGAAGCATTTTGCGATGCTTGACGAAAAAAAAAATGTTTACTGCTGAATGTTGGCTGCTGTTGGGAAAAAAAAGAAGTTTGGAAAACCTGAAGTGTTGAAATGTTGCTGGTGCTGGGTAGAAAAGTTCAATACGCCTTATTTCACTCTTGTAGTGTTTCTGTACTTCGCACCAGGGCGAGACGTAGCATGTCGAAGAACTACCCTTGCATGGGCAGGAAGGGAGAAGCCTTTTTTTTTAATAGAAGGAGCCTTGGCTGTCGCTGGTGGGGGGGGCGCGGGGGAGAGGAAATAACGCTCTATGCATCTTTGACAAGGTTACAGTAAGGCAGGACAAGCTTATAAGTTTTTTTCCAGCTTGGGAAAAATCGCTGTTTGGCGCCTCCCCCGCTGCCCTTCGCCGGGGCCGCGCCAGGCCCCGGCCCCCCGCTTCGGGCATCCCGTGTCCCGTTCCCGGCCCCGTTCCCCGCGGCCGGCCGCCGTATGACCTTGCAGCGCTGAAAACACGAAAACAAAACTCCACAAAAAAAAAAAAATAACAAAAAAAAAAAAAAAAAAAAAAAAAAACCAAAAAAAAAAAAAAGAAAAGAAAAAAAAAAAAAAAAAAAAAAAAAAAAAAAAAAAAAAAGAAAAAAAAAAAAAAAAAAAAAAAAAAAAAAAAAAAAAAATACCAGTAGTGTTGCCCTGGGGACCGCGATTTGGCGCGGGCGGGGGCCTCGGCGGGGAATGGGCTCTGGCCGGCGTGACGCTCCGTCCGGGGGCGGTGCTCCTCGTCTCCCACCCCCGCCGTGCTCCGGCCCCCTCCACATGGCACCCGAATTCACTCCGCGCCATGCCGCCGCCTCGCCGCTCGCCCGGCTCCTGCTCTCCCGCCGTGCCCCTCGGCTGGAATTTCCCGGCGGCCCGCTGGGATCCCCGCCGCCCCGCCCGCCATGGTGAGCCGGGTATGGGGGGGAATGCGCGCGCGCAGGGGCGCGGTGACCTCTAGTAGGGCCAACCGCCGGCCGCCCGGCCCCTCCGCTCCGCCCCCCGCCCGGGGAACGGGGCAGCGGCGGGCGCTGGCCCAGAGGGAGCGGCGGGCTGCGGGGCAGGCGGTGTGCGGGGGCTTTGATCCGGGCGGCTTTTAATCGGGTTGTTGTTGCTTCCTCGGAGGCGCGGCCGGCAAGCCGGAAGGAGCGTGTGCCCGCCGTGCTCTTTGCCGGCTTGGCCGCGGCCGTTTCCCGGCATCCTTCCTGCGGCAGCCGCCGGCGCCTAGGCTCGCCCCCGCTGACGGGCCGCCGAGATTCTGGCGGCCCGAGGCGGCAAGCTGCCTCCCGGTTTTCGGGCCGGGATGTGCAGCTGTCCGGGGGATGACATTGACGCCGTGAGCACGGCCCTGAGCCGCCTTGCTGTGGTCGGCGAGGGGAGTCAGGTAGGAAAGGTGCTGGTGCAGGACCTGGTCTAACGGAGCTCTACCATGCGGCAGCTGCTCCCACAGGAATTTGAGAGCCTTTCTTAGAGCTGTTGAGGTACAAATAAGGAGAAGCTGCGTCCTCACAGGAGTGCGGATATCTGGAATATCTTTGGGGCCGTCTGAAAACTAGGGAGCTTTTAGCTGAGAGAGCAACCCGTGGCCTCTAGCAGGCATCCGCAGTAATTGTTCAAGTACAGAGTGTTGGGCTCAGACATGAGTGGGATTTGATTACTGCACACAGTTCAACATGGAAACAAAACTGCTATTCGAATAAGGAACTTCAAATCTCGGTAATAACACCTAGGATGTGCCAAGCGCACGCGACCCGATATATAAAGGACAAATGATGTTTAAAAATGGAAACATCCTTCATCTGCTAAAGCATAGCAGTTGAGCACAGATTGCATTTTCTGATGGCCTCAGAAAATGCTTTTGACAGGCTAAAAACGATGATTCTTTGAATTGAAATACCAAAAGTTGGTGCATCTGTAAATCAGAATATAATTTTCCACGGGAAGCAATATTGCAGCAGTTGTACCATTTGAGTATCTCCAGCGTGTTACGGTGCAATCAGTTCTAGCTGATTAGTTCCCTCCAACAAGGCAAAAGTACAGTTCTGTTTGTCTAGCTCTGTTAGCTTTGGACTGCGGGTTCTAGGGATTTTGGAGGGCAGAGCATGCCTTGTCAGGCCTTTTTAAGGAATTTAAAAAAAATAAATTTGTAAAGGTGAGGAATAGTAGTTCTGAGCAGAGGCTTGTAGCTCTGATAGAAACTAGGTGAGAGCACAGGAGTTTGCCTTGGCTCATGGTGGAATTGATTAGGTCTGCTTTTGGCTTCTGTGGCTCAGGGGGTGGGGGAGTAGAGGGTTGACAAGAGTGTGTTGATTATGCACCATTTTATAGCAGCTGTAGACCAGAGAGTGGCTGCAGAAACCGCTTTACATACAGGAACTGGGACCTTCCACTCATAAAGCCACTCAAGAGGGTGAATTCCGGCTGAGGAGTGAGGGAAGCATGTTTGTTACATTCAGATTCAGACAAGGCTTCTTCAGGGTGCTACAGTTTAGTTACTTCAGTATGTATGAAAAATAGCACTTTGCTTTTTTAGCTAATGTCACTTCTTATTCTGTGAATCAGCAAATTACATTCATCTTAAAGCACCTTAACCTGTTAACTTCATTGGAGTTTGTGAATGTGTAATGTGGAATTTGCTAGGGAAGTAATTTTTTTTTAATAATGATTTTGTTGTTAGAAAGTACTTGTACAAGTATGCACTGATCCTATTTATCTTTGTTTCACCATTGTTGACATTGGGATTATGTAAGTTTGAGGAATCAGTTGTGCAACTGCTAGCTTTTTTGTCTGAAAGGTCACAAGTAGTTTATCTTTTTTATATCGTTTGAGCGTGGATGCTTTTGGTGATTGAACCACTGATCATATCGAGAGCTGGGCTTGGAACTGAATTGGTTCTGCTTATCCAGCTCTGTGAAAGCTTGACATTGTCTGCTTATACAAGGTGCCAAAATATCAAAAACAGGGATTCCCCAACTGTTGGAATATTAATATGTGCACATGTACAGTAAGACCCACAAGCATCCCTATTAAACATTTTTTGGCAGTAAGATACTGAAGATGCGTTTACTATGTTCTGTTTCTTGTTAGCATGTAAATGAATGCTAAGTGTCTCAAATAGGATAAAGAAGATTAAAGAACATAGGAATGATGTACTATGTCACACTAATCTTTCTGTTCTTGTGAAGTCAGTGTCTGGGAGAGCATCAGCCCAAACACAAGATACGGGGAGCGGATGGCAGTGTGAGAGCTAACCCTTGCTGGGGGCTGGGCTGTAGTTTCTTCTGGATCATGTGCACCATCTGCTCTGCGAGTACTCAAAAGTGAGCAGGGCTAGTGTCTCTGGTATGAGACTGATGGAATACCTGATGGCAGAGTGTCTCCATCTGGCTGGGAATGATGCTTAGGTCAGCAAAAAGGCTGAGACGTTCCCCTCTCCCCTCCTGCAACATGCCATCCGTGGTGATGCAAACCTGGGCAAGCTGCTGCAGAAGGTCAGGGCTGCTGGAGAGAGCATTCTGGCCAATACACAGCTGTGCTCCTGCCCAAGAAGACTGAGACCCACCTAACAAGGACTGAGTAAAATGAACCAAGAAAAGAGAGGAACAGTCTGACTTCAGAAGTGGGCTCCTGGGGAAGAGTAGGAACTGTGCTAACATGTATGATGCTTTCCCTGTATTCTGACCCAAACTCTTCATGTACATGGCACTGGTGAGGCTGCACCTCGAGTACTGTGTCCAGTTCTGGGCCCCTCGCTACAATAAAGGTATTGAGGTGCTGGAGTGAGTCCAGAGAAGGATGACGGAGCTGGAGAAGGGTCTGGAGCACAAGTCTCATGAGGAGCAGCTGAGAGACCTGGGGCTGTTTAGCCTGGAGAAGAGGAGGCTCAGAGGAGACCTTATTGCTCTCTGCAATTGCCTGAAAAGGACATTGTAGCAAGGTGGGAGTTGGCCGCTTCTCCCAGGCAGCCAGCAACAGGATGAGAGGACATGGTCTCAAGCTGCACTAGGGGAGGTTCAGGTTGGACATCAAGAATTTCTTCACTGAAAGGGTTGTCAAACATTGGAATGGGCTGCCCAGGGAAGTGGTGAAGTCACCATCCCTGGTTTGTGTAATAACCCAGTTTATTCTTCTGAGTGCTTATCTCATCTTCCCTGAACTCATGCAGACTTCCTTCATCTGCAGCATCAGCTGGCAAGGAGTTTCATCAACCTGTGACTTCTGTGAAGAGCTGCTCCCTCTCCCTTGCTTTGAACTTGACTCCTACTAGCCTAATGTTGTGGCTCCTGTTTCTTGTATTGGAAGAGACAGTGAACAGCTAATACGGGTGCTTTTATTGACCTCAGTTTTCCTTCAATGCCCAAGTTACCTCTTTTCTGAACAAAAAAGCCACTTGTCTTAAGAAAGGTGTTCCCTACCTTTTATCAACTTCATTGCCTTTCTTTGAACTGTTTCCTTGGACTATGGATGAACCATGGTGGCAAGGCATGAACATGGTGGCATGTTTCTTTTTATATCTTTTGCTTTTCCCAATAGTTCCTTGGGTTTGGTTTTCTCCTTTGACTGCACTGCAGCACTGACTTGACTCTATTGATAGAGCTTTCCCAAGGGCTCACCCCTAAGGGTTGCGGTTAGGTCAGGACCTGGCATTGTGTATGTATATATGCTACCTGTGGGACTGGGATTGTTTTACTCTATCCACAATAAAGAATTGAAAATTACTTCTTCCCTTTCCTGAAGATCTGGAAGAAGGTAACCTCCTCTTAGGAAGGATGAATACCTTTCCCACAGAAAACTGGGACTTGGCTGACCAAGGTGTGGGGAGAGGAAGAGTAAAGTGGTCTTGCTTCCTGCTCCAGTTCCATAATCTTTGTAGAGCTGCATGTGAATGTGATCACATCATCCCAAATGAATGTTGTTGTTCTACAAAAAGTAAAGAATTACTTTTTTTGGTGTATGTCAGCTAAAATTATTTTGCCTGTGGCTGTGTTAGATAATAACATATGCGAGGTGTATACATGATACAGAAATGCTGCCATATTTAAGTAGTGCACAAAGTATACCTAGATGCAGTTCCTTCGTGTTGCACAGCTAGGGCAACTGTGTTTCTGGTTTATTAGGCCAAAGGGGATAATTAATGGTCAGTAATTAGGGGATAATTAATTGGTCCTGGATTAGTCAGTTGCTCCCTTCCAGTATTAAGTGTCATGTAGGGTGTGGGTTTCAAATAGGAATTATGTTACATGTATGTTGATTGGGCAGATGCTACCTGAATTCTTACTATGCTAGTTCTTCAGTTTGGTTTTAACAAAACACCAGTTCTGTAAACTGTAAGCTAAGGTACTAATTCTTAGAAAAGAAGAAACAGTCTCTCATCAGGATGACAGTGGACAGCCGAGGTCTTAAGTCTTGCAGTGCTGCCTGTCACCAGTGGGACAGCTGGGCTTCACAGTGGTAGTAGTTGTGACTTCTAGTGAGACAGGTGCTCAAACTAGAAAAATATCTTAATTTCAAAGGTATAAAACTACCTATGACTAGCCGCATGTCTTTGCTTTGTGTTTTTTCCCCCTTCTGGGCTTTTTTTTCTTGACTGCTTGCTTTGAAAATGGATGTGCCATTTACCAGTGTTTGAATTTTTTTTGTTTTGTTTTTCTGCAGTCCACTCAAGAGGCTTTTAGGATAGAATATGATACTTTTGGTGAACTTAAGGTCCCAAGTGACAAATACTACGGTGCCCAAACTGTAAGATCTACAATGAACTTCAAAATTGGAGGTGTTTCAGAAAGGATGCCAGTAAGTAATTTGAAGCTGTGTAAATTTCTTTCTTAAGTGCTTTTTGGATGTGAAAATGAATACCTTTTTCTTAGACTTCTGCTGGAAGTGTAAGCAACTTTGAATTTTAATTAAAGGTACAAATTCCATAGCAATATATCATTCTGTGGTAGAAATCCTTTTTTTGTTACACTGAAATAAATTGAATATTGCTTTTGAATAATTTTTATTGTGTTGCTTAATTTTTTAATAACCAGGATGAGTGGAAATCTGTCTTTCATTTTCCCAGAGATGAAAAATTGAATGGAATAATTTGTTTGCTGTGTCTTTTATATAGTTTTTTTATTGAGGTTGTTAAGCAGAGCATGAATTGATATAAAGTTGCTTTTTCACTTGTAGCTGTGCATAGAGCATTAGTGTGCACTTGCTTTGTCATATACTGACTTTCCATGTACTGAAACATATGTCAGTTTTCCCTCAAAAGGCTATTTTAGAAATAGAACCAGTTCAATTTTAATGCATGTAATTTTTGATGCACAGAGCATACATGCACTTGCAAAGAAAGCTGTATACTGCTCTCTGGCCTGCTTGGATGAATGTTACTGTTAATGGTAGCATAGGCCATAGGACCTGATTGCTCTCTGGTTTGTTCAATGAACTACTGCTGGATTTATGATCAGAAGGAGTTTGGTTTAGAACTAGACATGCACTATAAATTCCTAACATGTCCTTTGGGGGAAGAAAATTGTGTATTTAAACTTACCCTTGTGTCTCAGGTTCAAGTCATAAGGGCCTTTGGCATCTTGAAGAGAGCAGCTGCTGAAGTAAATCAAGATTATGGTCTCGACCCAAAGATTGCTAAAGCTATTGTACAGGCAGCAAATGAGGTAGGAACAAACTGTTAAAATACTAGAACTGCCATTGTATTTTTGTTAAGCTTTTCAAGGAACCTGAGGGATTGCATTTCTCCGATTGCTAGAGAAAAGCATTTATTAGTGAATTTTGTTTTCCAGAAATCATTTACTTTATATAATAATTTTAGTATTTTACTTCTTGCATTTAAAGAAATTATGGAATATTCAAATGCATTTTGATACTTAAAGCAATGTGATTTTTTTCCCCTCTATTAAGAATAATTATTACTTGTATAGTGTTGACTCTTACCAGATGAACAGTATAAAAGAACCTAGGAGGGGAATAGAGTCTCAGTTCATTTAACTAAATGAAGTCTGATTTGCCAAGCAAAGCTTTTTAGTTTTGGAAGTCTCTAATCTGTAAAGCAATTGGATCTTGGTAATCTGAAGACCGTCTGCATTTTGAGTAGTTTATCTGTTACTGGTCTATTTCCTCTCCATACTTAGGCTTACTGGTAAATCTGTGCTTTTTAAGTATCAGTTTTATTGCTAAAGAGGACATGATGAGACAAATGGGCATCTTCCTCTTTCTTAGGATAAATGCCACCCAAGTGCAGAGTTGTAAATGACCATTATTTGAGGTGTGGTAATACCAAGTGTGTTGATTTGTATAAATCAACAGATCTGTTTATCTAGAAGCATTTGTTAACAGAGTTTTCTTGTTCTAACTTGCTTAAAAATATTTCAGTATTTGCAGAAGCCTCATCCTCTTTCTACCAGCTGTAGCAGCCTAAGTCCCAAGAGCCAATAGCTGTGGGGGATTCCAGAATATATCCAGGCTCTTTCTGTTGTTTCTAGGGTTCCCCTAGTTAAAGGTGGATTAGAAGTTTTGGTGGCTAAAGGCTACTTAGTTTAGATTCATAAGTTCTGAAAGTTGTTTGGGGCTTTTTTTTGTTGTGTTTTAAAAACATCCTTGCAATGATATCCTTTCTCTTACCTACAAAATAATTTTCTAATACAACCTAAAGAGATACATCAAGGAATCAAGTTACTCCTGGAGGTGGGAACTTTGCCCCTGTATAAGATGGGGAATATGTAAGATCCTTTTCTGAAAAACATGTTTCCAGGAGGACTGATGTATCCTGATAATCCAGAGATGGTTATCTAGGCTCAGAGTTGTGACAACAGATCCTTTGCTTTTCTGAGGCTCATATGTACGGGTGTGATACTTCTGAGCACAGATTTTGATGCTATCACAAACACATGTTTAGAAAACTCTCTAAATGTGCATAAGATTCAATAGACTCTAAAAACTGTTGATCAAAGAGGAGCGTGCCTTACAGGAAGAAGGTGTTTGCTACTATCAGCCACCTGCTGGCTTTGTCTATGCAAAATGTTATGTCTACAGGTGTAAGAGGTCTGGAACTTCCTCTATGAAATTTCTTTTTTGTGAAATATCACAGTCCAGTTACACAGATTTCATGTACTGCATGTGGATGGCTGACGATGTTTGGCAAAAACATGTTTTCTGGGGGACTATTTCCCAAAGGAACTGACTTCTCAGTGCCTCTAATTCGAGCTGATAGTTGTGATCAGTGTACATGATGAAACTGTGCAGCTGTTGATCTTGATCTCCTAGAAGAAAGCAGCACACCCATGGTGAGAAGTTTGGGAACAGATAAGCCTTGTCGAAATGGTCAAAACCGAAGGAGACACACCACACTGAATCTGCACCGTGAAGCACCTTATGTGCTCTGATTGAAAAACTTCTTAAGATATTTCTCTTGCCTTAAAAATTTTTCTAACTTGAGCAAATAACTGTGGAAGGGAGAACCAGCATGTACTACCTCTAGTCCTATCCAGGAGGATTAGAATTCAAATGGCTTTAAAATTTGGTAAAGTGGGTGATGTGTTTGACTTGTAAAATCAGCTGCATTGTTTGGGAAAGAGAAGATATAATTTAAAATACCTTTTAAAAATCTTTTCTTTCTATAACTGTAGAATATGAAATCAAGTTCTATGTAACTTCGTGTTTCACAATTCAGCATCTTCAAAAAGATAGCAAATGATTTTTTCCCTTTTAATATCTGGTATTACATCAAAAACTTGTTAATTATTCTTGTGTGAATTCACAATTGTTATATGTAGATTTAAAAATACAATAGAGAGCATGGTTTTAATTATAGCTATAAAATATTAAGGTTTATGCTTTTACTTTATTTTCTCATAGAATAACTTTTCTCTCTTTTTCCATTATAGGTAGCTGAAGGAAAATTAAATGATCACTTCCCATTGGTAGTGTGGCAGACTGGGTCTGGAACTCAAACCAATATGAATGTCAATGAAGTCATCAGCAACAGAGCCATTGAGATAATGGGGGGCACCCTGGGGAGCAAAAAGCCAGTACATCCGAATGACCATGTTAACAAAAGCCAGGTTGTTATGCTTGTATTATACTTCTTTGAACTTCAGAGGTTTTGGGTTTTTGAATTTTGAGTTCTCTTATATCCACTGTTTAAATTAAAAAAAAAAAAGTAGTTTTGGGTACAGCTTTGGCAACAATTTTCCATTTTTTTCAGTTTAAATGAACTTTAAGATGTTTGTCAGTGACAGTATGAGCTGTTGAGATTAAAAACTTTGAACTCATTCATGACAGAAAAATTCACACATAATGAATGGGCAGAGGTGGCCTTATGACAATGACTATTCCTGCAGCCTTAAAAGAACTTAAATATAGATCCAGTTTCTAAATGTTGGATCATGGTAGACATTTTTATTATACTTCCTTCTCAAACTTCAGCTGATCTGAACAAAATACTAAGCCACTGACTGGGTTGTTTCCCTTCCTAATCTTTTTTGCTTACTCAGTATCCAGTGAACTATGAATTTAACATTATCAAAGCAACACATAGGTGTTTTAAAGTCACCTACAATTCCTTTAAAATCATCCATCTGTTTTACCTGTCTCTCATAACTACTGTAGTAATTCTTTTTCTTTTTTTTTTGTCCCAGTGTTGTTGTGAACAATTTATATTCAGTTTAACTTTCTTAAGGTATAGTTATAAAAAGTTGATTTATCAATAAGACTCTGGCCTTGTGGAACAGTCCTAAGTTGCTTACTCTTAGTTTAGTTTCTAATTGTTTTTAAAATAAAGAGAAGAAAGCCATATGTGCACGTCTTACAGCAATAGTGGTGAAAAAAGCTTGTAAATAAATTTCTTGAACTTTCTTCACAGAGTTCAAATGACACTTTCCCAACAGCAATGCATATTGCTGCTGCCCAGGAGGTTAATGAGGTGTTGTTACCTGGACTGAAGAAGCTACAGAATGCACTTGAAGGGAAATCCAAAGAGTTTTCCCAAATCATAAAAATAGGGCGCACTCATACGCAAGATGCTGTTCCACTTACACTTGGACAGGTAAAAAAAAAAATAAAATTAGGCATTTCTTTGGACAGTTCTTGTAAATGTACTGGAGGATATTGAGGCCAACTTGAGAACGCCTGAATTAAGTTGATAGTTTAAGAGAAATTATAGGCTGAATCTCAGTGTGAGTATTTTCAGTCTATGCTGGAGTTTGCTGAATATGCTGTACTCTAATAACTGGGTCATAAATTTTCTTAGCTTTTTGCATGTGTGTTTTACTTCTAAGAGTATTAAGATATAAATGATTGTTAAATGATGTTTTGTTACCAAATAACACAACGCGATTTTTCAGTTACGCTGGCGTTGCAAGGAAGAGGTAATTGCAGTCTGTAATCTGCAAACTTATGTAAATGAGGTTTTGCCAACAAACAAAACTACTAGGTGTTTTGAATGAAAAGCTTAGATATATGATCCTCTGTATATGTGTGTATAAACATAAAAGATGGCAAATCTTATCATATTGTCAAGAATGGCTTATATTACAATAATTTGGTAATGAACTAAAGTGAATTGATATCCAGGTAAAGTTTGTGGTTTTTTCTCTAAGAATGCACAGGTGGGTTTTACTAAACTAAAGTCAAGTGAACAAAGCCCAAGATCCATTTCTTTATTTGTACTTGGAGAACATTAGTTCAGTCTTGGAGCTGTTTTAATGTGGATTCAGATCCTACTAAGTACACGCCTGAGATAAAAGGCATTATGCATAATTTTATTTTATGTATTCAGATTGGTTTTATGTATAATTGTTTGTTGTGTGGGAACAGTCATCTAATATTTCCATACTTTTACTGACAACATGCTAAGGTGTAGCATTTGGGTAAAATTCAGTGCTTGCATGTTTTTTAAAAAATAGGTCAAATCATGTAAAAAATCTAAATGATTCTAGGTGTTTATTCTTGGTTATTGTCTTTGTTCCTTTATCTTGTCCTCCTTTCTTTCAAAGGAATTTAGTGGTTATGTGCAACAAATTAAATATGGTGTGGCTAGGATTGAATCAACCATGCCAAGAGTATATCAGCTGGCAGCTGGCGGGACTGCAGTTGGCACAGGATTAAACACAAGAATTGGCTTTGCTGAGAAAGTTGCTGCTAAAGTGGCTGAACTGACAGGTGAGGAATGATATTTTGGAGTTACCAGTAAAGCGGTATGTGTAACACACAGTCAAATTCAAACTAAATCTTTCTGTTTCCTTACCTCTAATAAGCTCAAATTGTATTTTTATTTTAACATGACACTTTCTGTTAATATTATTTGTTATATGCCTTCTACTTCAGATTTTTCTTGCAGTGTATTTTTGTAATTATACTCAGTGGATTGAAAGTGACTGAAATTATGGTGTTTTTCTGAGCAAGGCTCATTGAATATGGATACAGTTTCAGACTTCTATTATTAGCCCAACTATAATGCTTCTGTCTTGATCTTTGCTCCTCTGGCTTTCTTAATTTATAGTGACTCAGCACAAAAGAAGGGGAAAAAAGCTCCCAAAGCCACTCTGGTTTTTTCATGTGAAAGAGTAAAGGTTAGCTTTCTAATTCTTTCAATGCTGTCTTGATAGATCTTAAAACTTAATTTACAATGATAACTGAGTTTTTTGATCTGTAAACCAGATCTTGTGTCACAATATAAGGTTTTAAAATGCCCCCAAAATAAACATGCACATCTGTCATTTACATTTGCTGTAAAATCTAAAATTGCTTATCAACAGTATTTTGTTTTTAATGGACCTATTATTCACTGTCTTGGAGAGGGTCAATACTTTCTTGTACCCTGAGAGGGAAGAAGTAACTTCTTGTAAACAACAGCTGCTAGGAGCAGTACGGGGCATGTTTTGGTGGTGTTATGAAGCTCTCCATCTTGGTGCTCTTTAGGTGTCCTAATGGCAGCTTGTACGAGTTTAAAACGAGTAGGGCAGACTCTTGAAGATCCATATGTTCTTGTAGAGGATGTTTATTGGCCAGGACAAGAGGAAAAGTTTGGTTGGATCTCTGCAACTGAGAAGGCAGCTGTGCAATTCAGAAGCTCATGCAGATTGGGTGGGATTTGGTGTTGTTTGTCAGGAGCTGCCAAACACAAGAAATTAGGGAGGTTATGCTGCTCTTCTTTGAATGGGTGATGAAAGCTCAGATCAGTAGTTCTATGGGGCAGAAGTCCAGCCCACAGTCAGTCCCTATGATATCTGTTCCCACTAATAGCATTCTGCTCGACTTTCCTTCCAGGGCAAGGTCCTGAAGAAATGTTTTTCATTACGGAACCTAGGCTTAAATCTTCAGGCATTTAATTAACATAAACAGAGCTGTTACTTCCATTGCTGCTGTGCTTTTGCTGTTGGCAGGCATCCTCCTAAGTCTGAATCAGCTTTCACATGTTCTGAGTGGTGTATTGTTTGCTTCCAGTGCTGGTACTCAGGTGCATCTTTTTCCTTTAAATAGGTAATTCCATTGTGATTACTTCTTATTTACCTTAACGCCTGCATTTACCTTAATGCTGCAAAACCATCTATTTTTATAACTGAGGGAACCCATCAAAGCAACTAACAATCTGAATTATCTAACTTGATTTACTGGAAGAAATACATAAGTTTGGGCTAAATTCTGAAAGATTTTTGACATTCACAAAATACTGTGATGAAAAGCAATATAACAGAATGAAAACTTGACATTTGTGCCTTTGTTGTTGGTAGATGCTAAAATGTCATATTCTTCTGTATTTTAATGACTTTTATTGTGTCTTTCGTATTGACTTTGTTTAAGAACTAAGTGAAGTAAGCTGTAGAGAAGAGAGGTGATGTTATAGTGTTATTAATTTTTATTTTTTATTAAGCTAATCATGTGTTTGATTAGCTGGTTTATGTCTGCAAGGAAGTGCCTCACTGGTTTAATACTTCCCCCTCCTCCATGTAGGTTTGCCTTTTGTCACTGCTCCAAATAAGTTTGAGGCGCTTGCAGCCCATGATGCTCTAGTTGAACTCAGTGGGGCCATGAACACGGTGGCCTGTAGTCTGATGAAAATAGCTAATGATATTCGTTTCCTGGGTTCTGGACCGCGCTCTGGACTTGGAGAACTCATCCTGCCTGAAAATGAACCAGGAAGCAGCATCATGCCAGGTACAGAGAAAGCAGAGAGAATTATTACCTGTTTCTTTTGTTTTGGACCACTGTCTCTTAACAAATGTTTACCAAACAGCCTCCTGATGATCCTGATGGGTCACTTCCTGCTCAGTATATCCTATGATTCTGTGATCACAAATGTCAGTAAGTCCATGATTCAATCCTTCTGTCAATTCTTATCTATTATACCAGAATTTGCATTTATAAAAATACCTGCTTGCACGGTTGTATGTTGGTAAGTAAGGTTATATACTCCTGACTATTAAGAACCATGGTAATGAACAGCTGCTTAGCTCATGCACAGTTGATCAAGCTCTTGAAGTGTTGGTAGATTGCTAAAGCAGCCAGAGCTGTTCTAAAAATCCTAGCTGAAATACTGGAATATTTGCAGTCAATCTAATATCATTTATGGAAATAGTTTTTCTTCTGTGGTGCACAGAAGTTAGTAAGACTTGTTACCTCTTAAAAATCATTTTCTATTCAATGTGATTTGGTAGATGAGGAAACCATTGGTTTCTGACTGGTGATGGTTGGTTGGTTGGTTTTTCTCCTTCCTTCTTTGGTAACCTTTTTCTCTCCCTTTCATAACCAGGAAAAGTGAACCCTACCCAGTGTGAAGCTGTAACGATGGTGGCAGCCCAAGTTATGGGAAACCATGTTGCTGTTACTGTAGGAGGAAGTAATGGACACTTTGAACTGAATGTCTTTAAGCCCATGATGGTAAGTTCATGAAATTTTAAACATCTAGGACTTTTCCAGTGATTGTTTGTTATAGTCAGATAATTCGTGGGCAGAAAAACCCTCAGTGAATAATTGGTCAATACAAGCACCAGAGAAGCTAATAAATTGTGAGAACAAATTTTATTATTTTGTATGGCAAGCCCTTGTTATTTTGACAGGGAGCTATGAATCTTTTTTACGTGAAACTATCTTATGCAAATAAGCTTCTGCCTTAATGATGTATGCGTATCATCAGCCTAAGGAAGTAAGCAGAGACACAAAACGAGGCAAGATTTTTGTACAAAGCCACAGCGAATTTGGTATTTTAGCTAAAAACAAGGATTTTTATTTTCTTTAGCAGCTATCTGTTACTCATTTCTGCTACTGCTGAATGCCAAAGGGTTACATGCTTTTTGCAAGTGAGGCATGTAAAATTGTAAATGATTAGCCTTAGACTTCAGTATTTAAAATAATGTCTGCCTTCTACAGTGTGAGCAGGATATACCAAGATACATGCTGCTGCTTTTGTATATTTAATTTTAAATAAAAGTCAAGCTAGTGGAGTGTTACAAATCACCTTGAACTGAAATTTGTATGGTTTGACAAGAAGTCGTAATTCTTATTTTTTCCTTTGGAGTATCTACTTTGGGTTTGTTTGGGGCTTTTTTCTTGGTTTTTTTAATGCCTTAAAACTGAGAAGGTAAACTAAACAGAGGAGAAATTGAGGACAAGAATATAAACAAAAGCACCAAATCAGAAGATTGTGGAGAACTGTATATAAGATGTTGAAAGAATGACATAGAGGTTAAGGTAGCGGTGATAGTTTTAAAAGAATTAAGGTGACTTTTAGAGAAGATACTAAATAGAAATAAAAGGAAAGTTTTTGAGGTTTTGTTGCCTTGTTAAAAATAAGAGGCACAAAAGAAGCAGCATGTAATTTTTCTGCACAGCCTGTACTGACTGATGCTGCATTTTTATTATGCTTGTTAGAAATGATTGAAAGAAAATTTATATTTTACAATAAAAGCATTTTTTGATCTCTTCATTACTGTCTGCTTAGGGTAATTTTTTCTCTGCCAATCTGAATATATTTATTCTAAGCATATAGCACCTGGTTTTGAAGAGGAAAAAAAAATTACATTGAACAGCCAAGAGGTGTACCTGTCAGAAGATAAATTTGATAGAAACAGTCACCTCTCCAAAAAAAAAAAAAAGAGGTGGCATGTTATGGATCATCAAAGAAGACAACTAATGCCAGACATTATTGTCCTTAATATTTTTAGATATGTTCTTGTAATTGGTACCTGAGGGGGAAAATTACAACAAATCAAATGCCTTCTTGTATTTTTTACTTGGTTATTTGTGAATTGGTATAACAAAATGATTACACATACTGTGCTTGTTTTTACTCAGGAATTCTGCTTCTCACAAATTCATTTAAATAGGAATGCAAAAGGAGGAGGTCGTACTATTTACTGTACTGCTGTTAAGGGGTTGGAAGGGACCTTAGAGATCATCTAGTCCCAACCCCTGCTGCCATGGGCAGGGACATCTCCGACTAGACCAGATCGCTCAAGGCATTATCCAGCCTGGCCTTGAACACTGCCAGGGTTGGGGCATTCACAACCTCCCTGGGCAACCTGTTCCAGTGTCTCACCACCTTCACAGTAAAGAATTTCTTCCTAACATCTAGCATAAATTTCCCCTCTTTCAGTTTGTAGCCATTACTCCTTGTCCTATCACTACAATTCCTGATGAAGAGTCCCTCTCTGGCTTTCCTGTAGACCACCTTCAGATACTGGAAGGAAAATAGCCTGTTAAATAATTTGATATTGAAAGGGGGACACTGATTATGAACAAATGTGCCAGAATGTGCAACTAGTAATATCTGAATGAAGTAATTGTGTTTCCTTCTTTGTCTTGTTAGATTAAAAATGTTTTAAACTCTGCAAGACTTCTTGGAGATGTGTGTGTTTCTTTCACTGACAACTGTGTAGTAGGAATTCAAGCCAATACGGACAGGATCAACAAACTGATGAATGAATCTTTGATGTTGGTAACAGCACTGAACCCACATATAGGTAGGTTTAATGCTCAGAAAGTTCTCAAAACATTATACTGAAATATTTTGTGGCAGCATTATTTTTCACATGGTATCCATATTGTCACGATGTTTAGGAGACCAAGTCATGGCTCAGGTCAAAAATTAATTTACTTCAACATCACCAATTGCTGTTACTGTTGCAGATGTTGTATCCTTCTTGCAGTGGCCATACCAGTGCATTAGAAAAATATCTCTCATTAGAATCAGAAGGGGATTGGGAGAATTTGCGAACCTGTTCTCCTGAACTGACCGCTAATAATGATAAGTGAAAGATTATGTTATGAGATTATTTTTTTTTAAAGGAGAAGGTCCCATAAATCTTTGATCTAAGTAAATTAAGACCAGGATAACAGAATTTACCTTCGCTTTAAATAGGGAGTTAGTGTAAACATTTGGTGTGCATTTACTGCAAATTGAGTTAAATAGTAATAGCAATGCCTTGCAAATAATTCTCCAAAGACCAAGTGTCCCACTTTTCTCTCACTTCTAATGAATCATTGAAATTGTGAATGGCTAACTTGTTGCTTTTGTTTTGTTACAGGATATGATAAAGCAGCTAAGATTGCCAAAACTGCGCACAAAGAAGGGACAACGTTAAAAGAAGCTGCTATAAAGCTGGGGTTCCTTACGTCAGACCAGTTTGATCAGTGGGTGAAGCCTAAAGATATGTTAGGTCCACAGTAACTCCTGTACAAAATAAAAAAAGTGTTCTTAATATAAAAAAATAAAACAAATATGATATCACAGAATCACAGAATTAATTAGGTTGGAAAAGACCTCTGAGATTATCAAGTCCAGCCTATGACCCACCACCACCCCGGCAACTAGACCATGGCAGCAAGTCCCACATCCAGTTGTTTCTTAAACACCTCCAAGGACAGTGACTCGACCATCTCGCTGGGCTGTCCATTCCCATGTCTAATCACGCTTTCAGTGAAGAAATTCTTCCTGATGTCCACCCTAAACCTCCCCTAGTGTAGCTTAAGACTATGTCCTGCTGTCCAGTCACTAGTTGCCTGGGAGAAGAGGCTCCAGTTAACTCCTTTAAGGGGGTTGAAGAGAGTGACAATGTCTCCTCTGAGCTTCCTTTTCTCCACTTAAAAAACCCCCAGCTCCCTCAGCTGTTCCTCATAGGACATGCACTCCAGATCCTTTATCAGTTCTGTTGCCCTTCTCTGGACCTGCTCCAGCACCTCAATGTCCTTCCTAAACTGAGGGGCCCAGAACTGGACGCAGAACTTGACGTGTGGCTTCCCTAGTGCTGAGCATAGGGGGACAGTCACTTTTGTGACTGTTTTCATGGCGTTTGTAACAGATCAGATCAAATGACCTTACTGGGATGATTCCACACTTCGAGCAGGCGGTGCAAGCCCAGCAGCTCCTTACACGGGGGGCGCCGAGGGAGAAGAGCGTCTCCGTGTGCGGAACAGCCGTGCTTCCGTGCGGCCCCGAGGGCCACGGGCACCCAGCGGAGGGGGCGGGAGCTCAGGGATGCGCCGCCGGGAGAGCGCTTCCTGCTTCCCGCGGCCCTTCTTCCGCGGGGTGGAGCCGGCCGGGAGGTTCTCGGGTCGCGGGGAACGGCTGTTCAGGCGCCGCCTGCCGGGGCCGGGGTCGGGAGCGACTCGAGACACCGCCGCATGAACGCTTCTTTGGCAAGGCGACAGCCGAAGGCGCCCCCGCCCAGCTCACCGACTGCATCGTGGACGGTGAGAGCCCACGGGGCACCTGCAGGGGCCGGAGCCTGCCTGGCGCTGGCGGCCCGCGCCGCATAGAGAGGGCCGTTGGCGGCACCTGTGCACGGGCGTGTCGGGGTGTGTGGGGACACGGCTGGCGTGGGCACTGCGTGTGTGCCCCTGGGAAATGGGTGTGTGTCGTAGAACCTCAGAACGGGGGCGGTTGGAAGGGACCTTGAAGATCATCCAGTTCCAACCCCCCTGCCCTAGGCAGGGACACCTTCAGTTGAAGGCTCGGAGCCTTGTCCCACCCGGCCTTGAACACTGTCCTTCAGTGTGCACAGATACACGGCTACGTTTTGCTGCAGCGCGTTTGTACATATATATATATATATAATATACATATACATACATGTATTTTAGCATGAACCTGTGCCTGTACACTGGCATGTACCTTTGTATGTATATACACCTATGCCTGTGTTTTTTTTTTCCCGTGCGTAGAAGCACATCCCATAAGCAGTTGCACACGATGTGCATGTAAGGCATGGCTCTCCTTACATCCTCATGGATATTTTCAGTATTGCCATTTGAGGACTTCCCTCCTGTGATTCCACTAGCTAACTCCTGCCATGCCAAGTTGTGTCAAGGCAGGGGCAGGAGCAAGAAAACCAGCCTCTGTGTCCAATACAGAAGGTGGGAGGGTGGAAGGGCAATTCCCTCTTGTGATGAATTCTTCTAATGAAGAGTGTTCTGTCTCTTTTGGTGAGTAGGATCGCTGTAGGGTTGCTGCCAAAGGTGTGTGCAGGTGGACAGATAAACAAGGTCAAGATAACCAAGTAAGAAATTATGAGGAAAGGCACAGCAGAACACTTTATAACTGTTGTAATCTTGGCCTGCCTGAAAAGAAGATTAAAGAAAAATTTTAAGAAGATTTGTCTTGTAATTTCATAGTCTTTTTTTGACTTTAAAGCTTTTGAAGAAAACTGTAGGATGTTTTTGCAGCTCCTTCTGTTGTAAGCTACTTTTAAAAGGTTAAAAAAGAACACAGAGGTCGTGTTTGTGTCAGTAGTTAACAAAATCCAGTGAAAGGTCAGTAACGGTGGGGGTATAAATGGATGTTAATTAAGCATTGTCACTGGAACCTGACAATAAAACCTTCTGTGGAAAATCACAGTTTTCCTCACAGAAGATTTATTTTGCTACCCAGTGAAGAGACTCTCTTAAGTAAAATACCTAATTAATATTTGTCAGTGCTACCTACACAAGCCTACACATTGGCTTCTTGTGTATGCCACTGGGTGTTACAGGGAGAGAAGTGGTCATAGTGTTTTTCTGGTACCTTATTTTACTGGCAGAGAATCTGTATTGCTTTTTAGCAGTATTAAGCCCAAACATAAGTCCAAGTATGTTTAGTTAGAACAATGAATAAAGTATCTGATTGAAAATCAGGATTAGCTTTCCCATTGTTGCCAGTAAACACTTTGGTGGACTCCAAAATACATCTGAGATACTGTTGTTAGTACTTAAATTTGTCATTTTGGCAGTATCAGCTGAAGACCAGGAAACTTTGTTTTCCTCACAACCACCAACTCCTGTATTAGTCCGTTAGATTTTTCATGCTGATTTTGCCAGTTCCAAGTTAATGCCTGTTTTCTAATGTTGTAGCAAATCAAAAGACAATTTAGATATGCCTGCAGGTTGTCTTCTACTTAAGAGCTTGGTCAATCCCATTGGATTTTTGGGATTCATCAAAGTGTAATTTAAACAGCTGTAAATTTTAGGATTTTTTCCAAAATCTGCTGAATGCAGTTTTGATCTTCTTCTTGTTGTTTGTAATTGCATTGTCTGAAAATTTGACTATGCAAGACAGCAGGTTAACTGAAAAGCGGAGTTTCAGGTTTATTTTAGGTATGTGATGACTTTGGCAACCAGTGATGAGTTACAGAGTGGTTTTTAAAACATGAAATCAAGAGCCTGTGTTGGTCAGCTGATGAAAGATGAAGGGCTGGCTGCAAACATACCTGCTAAGGGTGTGTCATCACAGGAAGTCTATAAACCACCCTGTTTCGATGCCTCTCAATTTCTGTGGATGAAATTAAAATTTAAGACATCTCTGTATACTAGTAAACATGGGTAATATGCTTCCTTTTACAAGTTTGAAGCTTATGAATTAACTTTTTGTGCCAAGTTATATGCAGTAATCTACCTGATTTGTGAAAGACTCGCTGTATTTTCAGTTCATTTTCACTATAGTGAAGTCTCTAGTATAGCTTCTGCTAAAGAACTACAGACATGATTGGATTTTTTTTCTTAAATTACATGTGAATTATTGTTGAAGAGAGTTGTTTGAGATATTAAAAAACGTGCACTGTTTCTTTACCACGTTAACTTTGGCAGTTTGGAGGCTCAAGTAATGTCAGTTCTGTGGTATTTTCTGTCTTAGACACATTTTGCTCTACCTTTTGAAAGAGTCAAATTATTTTGGGAAATCTCTTACCATGCTACTTCAGTGGTAATTAGCCATTAAATGGCAGTTAGGAAAATTTGTATGCGGTGACTAACAATTTATATTCATAGTTAACATTTGGTAAAAATGTGGACAACTCTTAGGCAGTAATCATGCCTGTGTTTTGATGTTTTTTCCTGTGTAGGCAAGTTTAGATATCTGAAATTCATTGCACTTAATGGCAAGATTTTTTATGCTTGCTGTCAGGGCACAGTCAGATGACTCAAAGTTATCACGAGACCAGTAGGAGGAAGGATGCATCAGGAAGTGTGGCATTAGTAGTGTTTTTACTTCTTTGAAAAAAACGCTCCAAACCTAGGGTTTTTCAGAGTAGTAAACAGAAAACATAGGAACAAAAGTTGTGACAACAGTGTTAAAATTCAGGGTCACTTTCTTTTGTGTAGATTGGGACCTTTCTAATATGTAGCAATGAAATATACCTGGGTGTGCCTTATTTGTAAATAGTATACAACAACTGTTCAAGTCCTAATACGCAGTCTAATTTTCTTCAGGATAGATTAGATCCATTCTCCCCTCTTCTGCCCGGTCTCATTTTTAAAAGCTGAGGTCCCATGTAATGTGTGTGTGAAATTTTTATGTAGTTAATCGATGTAGGAGGCTCTCTCTCAGTTTCCTGCTAGTACTTCTTAAAAGAATCATTACATAATAAACCAAATAACTGTTTTTCCCCTATGGAGGCTGACCTCAAAGATGCATTTAGCTGATGAAGATCTTGAGGAGGTGCTATGCTTTGAACATAGAAGAGTTCTAAAATCACAAATATCTCTCTTTCTTGCTATTAGTAAAATATTTGGCATAATAGAAAGCTTAATACAAATTTTTCAATGCCAGCTGTGCCCAGGCACTTCACTATCTTGTGTGAAGGGATCATATCAAACGTTCCACTCAGGATGCCTCTGGCAAATGCATGTTGCTGTCATAGAGCACAGTTTTTGAAGGGTCATTGAAACACCAGAATGAAAATCCACATAATTGTATGTGCTTAGCCACAGCATTAGCAAGTCAGAATTGTAAATTTGCACTGATGTCTCCTGCTATAATTGGAATGTCATTGTATTCTAATCCCTAGAGGGGCTCCTTGGAATGAGAAGTGAATAAGCTTTATCCTGTTGTTTCCAGAGAAATGCTGTGATAGTCAGTTCATGTTAAGAAGGCTTTTTATGAATTTGTGTATGCTGTTCGAATTACCTATACCCATTCTCGGTTATGTAATTGTCATCTTTAACCCTCTTATGGTGAAGGATTAAAATATTTCCCTAATGACAGCCCTGTGGTATGCATTGCACCAGGGCTGTTAGGGTTGGCTGCTGGGGGTCTCTCTATGAAACTACTGTTGGGATTTGGAGCAAAAGCACAGTAAGAATTCAGAGTAGCTACCAGGTCAAAGTGCTGTGTCCTGGGACCCTTTGTGGGAACTGATGGGAACAGCATCTCTCTCTGACAAAGCAGTTAGGCACCTTTGAAAAACTGTTTAAGTCTGGGCTTCTTAGATGTAACCTGTAATCCAGATATCATTCTGAAGGATTAATGTTCTCTGCCCACCAAA